CTCACTCTCACTCTCACTCTCACTCTCACTCTCACTCTCACTCTCACCCACCCACACTCACTCTCCCACTCTCACTCACACACACTCTCACCCTCACCCACACTCACTAAGACCCACCTTCACTCTCACTCACGCTCACTCACACTCACACTCACTCTCACTCTCATCCACACTCACTCTCACGCACACTCACACTCACTCTCCCACTCTCTCACTCACACTCACACTCCCTCTCACCCGCACTCACTCACACCCACCTTCACTTCATCACCACCATCACCTCTCTGGACCCCAATGCATCTAGATCTCTAGACTTTCTGCTTACAGACCTCACACACACACACTGTTTGGGGTCTCTTGCCGGGATAATTTGCAGCGAACAAGTGGGGTGATTTAAGGGTATTGAGACGTACACGCATCCCTCTGAATGAGCTAAATGTCATGGATTGTGGCATGTGCATGTCTCGCCCTATCTGATTCAGCATGTATCCTTGCCGGGATCTAGCTAGAACGGCAGTATGCCCATGATTGGTAGCTGCCAGGATTCAGCAATTGCGCCATTAGCAGCTGCCAACTCGACGTATACCTGTGCAGCTGATTTGACGGATCTTCAATCACCCACCTCCTGGCCTCCTATTGATTTGTTCTTTCGAGATGAGATTGCATTGGAACATCTCGCTTTTGCTTGCCTTTCCTGAGCTGTTCTGTCTCATGCGGCCAGTGGTAGACACCACGGCTACAAGCTTTGATTCAGACGTTAGTTTGCGCTCTGAGGGATCCTAGATGAAAACAAAGTCCAAGGACGTTTGCTTGTGAGTCCGCAGCTATGTTTGTTCGCTTTTGCCACATGATTCGGCTTCTGATTCATTTTGTCTTCGAGTTGCTCCCCTGCATGCCCCTTCTAGCACAAAAAATGATTGTGCTCTTCTCTGCCGGCAGCTTGTCCGCCTTCATACCTTTCGGTTTTAGTGGCTGTCACTGCATGATGCTGTTCTTGTTTCCTGTGTTTCATTTCCTCAGTGTGTCCGAGAAAACCAATTCGGGGTTCTCACCGAACGATTTTGCTGCTTTCTTGGGTTTGCCCTTTGTCTCCTCTCACGTTATTTTTTTGGTCTCCTCGTTTGGGTGTAGGTGACTTCTTCCTTGTTCCCAGGTTGGCTTCTTTGAAGTGAAAGGAACACTTTGCCTGTGCTTTTGTTTCCTTGTTGTCCCGAGCATTGAGTCTTTTGTGAATAGTGACGTGTTTTCTTGGGTTGATGCTGTTGTATAACGATAACTATAACACACACACAAGCGCCTGCGGAGCTAGAGTATGATGTGGGTGCTGCTCAGGTGCTCGAGTATGTTGAAGCGGATTGAAGCCGGTGATTTGCCAGGAAGACCAAGGCCGAGAAACCCTGAAGGTTTTGGACGCGCGCAAGCAATGTGTATATTATATATATATGCATACATACTTTCAGGGTCCAGGGTTCAGGGTGCATGTTTTTTCGTTCTTGCGAGTTCCGAGGACACTTTGATCACTGGAACATCCTCGAAGCAACCAAACATTAACACTGCCCTCCACTCTATTCAGCCAAAACGAACAGTGCTTAAGCAACGGCCCAAACAAGAGTGTCGGGTTTTGTTTGATTAGTAGTTACTGTAACATTTTTTTACCTCCCTCTCTCTCTCTCTCTTTCTCTAGGTCCATTATCAGCTGTGACGCTGGAGCTCCTGTATGTCCGCAGCGTCATGTCTTTGGTGGCACGATGCCGGAGACCTGTACCTGTTTGGCTTCAATGGTTTTACCAGTTGCAGCGTAGCATTGAATCTGGGCCCAGGCTAGACCGCGATGGATTTGGAAGAACCTGGAACAACCGGTGGCAGACAGGTTGTTAGCGTTATAGTTGCATCAGGAAGTTTTGCGCTGACCTGTTGGAAGGCATAGCAATTCTCAACGAACACTGCCATCCGCACAAGTCTTAGTGTGGGCGACAGGTCGGTGGCTGCATTGCAGAATCAAGCATGCACCTGATTTGGTGTCATCCCAGGGACCACCGCACATACTTCACACAGCGCTCTATATTCGAGCGATCGCCGTCACAAATCTACCGACGGTTCTTGCATCAAGTGGTGCTGGCCTGTTTGCAAAGAGGCGATTGTAATTTTCAAAGTGGTTCTTCTTTTCTCTAAACATTTGCCGAGGAAAGAAGACCTGGTGAATGGGTTTCCATCGATCAGAGAAGGTGTGTTGCCGCACCTTCATTTTGTTGAACGCATGCATGCATGTGTTCACGCACAGATTTGTTTGGTTTTGCGTGCTTTCTATGGGTATGTTGCTCTTCTTGTTGTTCTGCTGCAAACTGCAATCAATGTCATGTGTGCTTCGCAATGTGGTTGATCTCTTGACAGATTCATGTCTCCAAAGCAAAAAGCAGCCAATTTTAGAGTGTCGAAGGCCAGCTCGATTTCCTCCTTTGGGTGGTCTGCTAACAGGTCGTCATGACCTCAAGAGCTGCTTTGACAGTTAACAATCGGTTGTATCTGCTCCCAGAGTCTTCAAGCCAAGCCTCCAAGTCTTAGGGTCTGGCACACCTGTACCGGGTGCTACGCCTTGAGAGAAGCACAAGAGGACAGGCCAAGCCTGGTCTTCTGATGTTTTGTGGCAGGCGAAGCCTGGACACTCTGTAAAGTTAAACAAAGTGCCTGTTCCGGACCTTGTCACAGGCGAAGCCTTCTGTCCCGAACATGAAACCATGTTCCGGACATGTTTTGATCTGACATTGTTCTTAGAACATGGGTGAAATGAGCTTTAGCACCGCTGTGATGGACAAGCCATTCTAGGAAGATCTCGGGGGCACGATTGCAAGCCGCAGGTCCAAAGTGCAGGGTCGGGTCTTCCACCTCAGCCCCGGTCAAGGTTGTGTACTTCTTTTCAGAATGGAAAAAGAACAAGTTCAAAGCTGACAAACGAAGTGGTAGAATCAGTTCACTGCAGCAGGCCTGCATCAGGGTCCATTACATCGATTGCAGATGCCATTCAGGCGAGAATGGCATGCGCTGCAGAAAAGCTTTGGGTGTGGTTTGCCAAGGCGGAGAATGCCAGAGTCAGAGGACAGAAGCTATGTGATTCATCAGATCCAGAGGCTTCTTGTCTACATTAAATTCAACTATGTGTGTGTATATACATATTCATATATTGTAGATTGCCCACACTGGTGCTTCACCCCCACTTCTCCCAACTCTTCACCGAGCGCGCCCTGCACGCTGCTTTTCCAGCAACCTCCGTAGTCTCCTGTGGGTCCACGGTCGTCCACGACCAACGAAGGATCGTCCTCGATCCACCACACCTAAGTGAGCCTCCTCCAGGCGGCGCACGGCAGCGGCGTTCATGGAAGTGAATGCTCTCTGCAATCACCGGTCTGCAGGTGAACAAGGTTTCACGCGACAATCACACTCCTAGAAAACTCTCTGTTCTTTAAACACACATGAACAATCCGGCGTGCATTTGGCGCTCTGTTGGCCATCAACGCAATACGATTCTGTAGCGTGTTACCCCACATAATCTTTGCGACTATTGCCCCTGGCACACTGCACACACGTGGGCATCCGATGCACCGGCATTCCTGTCTCAAGCGTCGGTCCGATCTTTGTTTCAAGATATGAAGGATGCTAGTATCCATCTCCTTTGTTAATGCGTTTGCCATCTTTGCGGCGCTATGCGCCCACTGAATTAAGACCCCTTCCTTTAGTCTATCTTTGATCACCAGTGCTTCGAGCAAGGTACGGTATTTACTGCACTTTGGGATCGTGGTCTTCTGAAGGAGGTCGTACAGGCTCTTGCAGTCTACAACTGCATATGCTGGAGGGATTTTGGTGAGGGTTTCGTCTGGTTTGTTTCAGCCATTGGATCCAGTGCAAGCGGACCCAGCTCAGTTGATCTAAGCTCCCGACAATGCATATGTTTCTGAAGCGAGGGTGCTTGAAACAACTCTAGCGATCTTCTTGGAACACCAAACCAAGGGGCTGACCTTAGATCCCTTACAATCCTCAATGGCCGAGGTTGTCGCCAGGATGAATGTCCCTCTCTGGGAGTGGGCTGTTCAGCGTGAAATTCGTCCAACATGGCTTTCGAGATTGCTCCGTGGCGTTCGGCCCGGCCAAATTGCCAATGGGCCATAGAGAGGGAATTGGATACGCATGACGCCTGGGTGACCAAGATTCTTGAGCAGCTTTACGATCATGATTTTCAATTTTTCTGGCAGGGCCCGAAACATAGGTCCATGAACTACTTTTGGTTGGTCCATCACAGCGGGTTGGTCGGCTGCATCCGGTGAGGTCGGACACGGGTCTTTGCCGCTCGCAGTAGAGGTCTCCTTGGACCGATTGGACTCGGCAGGCACGCTCAAACGGGCTTGCTTGGCAGGCGGTTCACCCGGAACCCTCATAGACGGCTCATCCGGAGCCGTGGCGAACATGGTCACTAGAATCTCTGTCGGGGTTCCTCCCCTGATTTGCTGACAATGAGACCAGTATCCCGCTTTCGTCCAAAACTCCTACGAAATGGCAGTTTGGCTGTACAGGTATCCGGTGGAATAATAGACCAGTCAGGAAACATTGGTTGCACCTTGGCTATGTTTGGCTCTTGGAGAATTTCCTGTAGCTGGCTCGCTTCGCTCGGCGCGAGAGATTCACCAGACTTCGGCGGGGCTGTGCTGGCGAGGACTTGCCGTCTATTCGGCGTCGCTTGACTTCGGGTTCTCCTTCCGCAACTGCAAAACAGGCTTGGCAATCTGGTCTTCTTGATTCTGGACACTTAATTTGATGGTTCGGCAAGCAAATGTCTGTGTGTATTGCCCTGTGTATCGAGACACCGGCATTCGGCGGCATTTTCTTGATGGCTTGTCTGAAAGCTGTGCAGCTGAGCGCCAGGATGTCGGCTTGTCGGCTGTGTCGGGGAGCCAGGCGCCACCTCTTCCGCTCCAGACGTCGACGCAGGCTTGACGCACAGGGACCAAGTCCGGCCGCATTGCAGCTACCGGCGATCTGCAGGTGACAGGGAGATTCTTAGCATTGCCACTGTTCGACAGATTGGCTGAGGACTTGTTTTCGTCGGGAGAACCGCATCAGGATGGTTTGGATGACAGAGATTTCCCCCCGCGCGCTGCGCGTGTCGAACTTGGCTGGTGTAATGAATCATTGAAAGATGAGTTCTGACCCTGACGGTTGTTCGAGGTGGAAGTGTGTCTTACAGCCCCCCCACCAAACTGCAAACGACGCATGGCGCCACAGACCAGCAAATGGGTCTTCTCAGCTTCTTGCGCGGCCGCGATGCGAATAGCCAGTGCTTGGGATTTCCTGCGTTCAAATGACTCCACTGTGACCAGGGGCCGTCCAGATATGGTTTGGAATTGTTACCCAGATAAGGTCACACAGTTTGCTTCTTCCAAGAAAGGCCCCAAGATCACCATGCTTTCGTGCTCTCAGACCAAGATGGGTGGCCTGACGCGTCAATTTGTCAGTTGACTATCGGCAGAACAGTAGATTTCGAGTAGATCTATTCCCCTCCTGGAAAGATGATTTGCACTTCTTCGGGGGTTCCACAATGTTTGCGGAAGTACTGCGTCATTTCTTGATGTACCCAAACATTGACCTGAACTTTTTTTTTGGGATGTCTTGAAAGTATGCCATGTCTATGACTAAACTGCGATCGGCTTCCAGCGTCTCGACCCCTAAGCAATCTGCCAGGATGGACTGAATTTCTTGACTGCTCCTATCGGACATGAATGGCTGGCCTGGGACCGAGTCTAGACCAGCTCTGATAGTCTCCGGATCCTCCGTGAGTCCGGACGTGGCCACACTCTGCAAAGCCTGGACGACTGTGTACGCAGCTTGGGGTCAGATGTTTGAACTGACATCGGTCACGCTGCTCTGCACAACGGTCTCCTCAGTCATGGAACCTTTAGTTACACATGCCTCTTGAGACTGGGAAATCAACTGTGCAAAATCGAGCAAATACAATTTCTTCTCAGAGAGCTTGAGCGAAAGTTCAAATCCAAGCTTGCCAAAAACGACCGTGTCGGTCGCAGTATGGATTGATGCATCGAGCTTGCAAAGCACATTGTTGGATATCAGAAAAGGTGTACGTGATGGAACAACACAAATCTTCACAAACAAAGGTCCTAGCGGGATCAGGACAGCTCGGTTGCCTTCGGCTGTGCTACTGTTGCCAAATCGAAAAATCGTTCTGCGTGGAACTTCTTTCACCTGGACATGTGATGGCAGCTGATGCAAAAGGTCCTGAACTTGACGTTCTCCTATTCCCGTCTGACTAGCTCCTAGATCAACTGTCCTAAAAGCTCCATGACTTACGAAACAGGTGATCGCTTGGTCCGGTGGACCTGTCATTCTAGGCTCAATCGGAGGGCTTGTCGGGTGCAGCTTGATTCGAAGCAAAGGCAGCAGCCTTTGCGTGCGTTCCCTCATGATTTGATGGTGTCCCTTTTTTGGGGTGAAGACACATGTGTGGTGTGAGCATGCCCCAAACTCATGAACACGACTTGCCAATTGTTCCGAGTGGCCGAATCGATCAGGCTCATGTCTTCCTCGTCCATAACATCAGACTCCTGGAAGCTCCCTTGCTGTCGCAAAGGACACTCGGCTTTCCTAGCTCTGCGTCTGCGGCAGTTGGGTTCGAGAATTCGCTGAGCCAACAGTTTGCGAGAATGGAGTTCGAAACGGTCGCCCTTGCTCTTGCGACCCTTGCGAAATCCTTTTCGAGATGGGTTCAAAAAACCACGGCCCTTGGCCTTGGTCGTCAACCATTTGCGAGCTTCAACATAGGCATTTATGCAGGCGGCCATGTCCGAGTCGGACTGTACGGTGTCAACAAGACCTTCCCCAAACTGCATGCGTACGATGGCGTCTGGATCGCCATCCTCTGCCCATTGTTCCAACTGTCCATCTTCCATGGGGTCACCAAAAAGGTCGGCTCTTCATCTCCCACGGTCATCACCATGGCGGGTTCCTCGTCAGCAAAGAACGCGGTTGCGTCAGGTTTTGGTCCTGGTGTTTTGAGCCTTCCCTCATAGGAAAAGCGACTCCAAGAGCTTGAGGTTAGCCACAGCCTCTTTGTAGCCCAGGGAACCCTGTGACTCGACAATCAGGTGCTTCTTGTAATCAGAGCTCAGTGCACTGTTCCTCAACAAGATATATGTGCTTTTCAGCTCTTCGAACTGACGATGGTCGTGTAGCCAGGTACGATTCGCGCGTCTCATTTCCCTTTTCAACTGTGCTGTGTATGGCCCGTTCGAAGCGCTCCAGGCGTGATTTTCCCCAGATGCCTCTCAAAGCCTCTATGATCGCTTGGACGCCGTCCGTCGAATTCGAGCGCAGGACCTTGGACTCACCCGAGACAAGCGTTGAAATGCACTGCCTTCACATTGCATAGCAATCCTTGGTGCCAAATGCTGAAGATGTTCTGGTGGCCACAACTGTGCAAGGAACTCGACTTTATGAGTCCATTCATTCAAGCGCGCCCTGCGCGCTGCTTGTCCAGCAACCTCCGTAGTCTCCTATGGCTCCACGGTCGTCCACGACCACGAAGGATCGTCCTCGATCCACCACACTTAAGCCCTCCGGTGAGCCTCCTCGAGGTGGCGCACGGCAGCGGCATTCATGGAAGTGAATGCTCTCCACAATCACCGGTCTGCAGGTGAACAAGGTTTCACGAGAAAACCACAATATATATATATATATATATCCAGACGTGTCTATTTAAGACTGTGAGTGTTTTAACCTCACGTGCACTTTCATACATCATTTGTCGCGTATTTAGGATAGTTTCTTTTCGGAAATTGTCGCCAAAAATATGCATATTTTCCGCGCGTGTTTTCGTCGGTCGATGTAAAGCACACTGTAAATACGACTTCAGAATTGTTCCACGACTCCGAGGGTTTTGGTCGGATGGCGCGTTAACGTTGTCTGTGTTCAATTTGCACACGGTGGGGTGGGGTGGGGTGGGATGTTAACGTTCGGCTCAAATTAGCACACCCACACCGAAGAAGCCCTTCTACGCTACGCGCGCAATACCAGTGACTGAGGGTTGGGTTGGGGTAGTGTTACGTTCACCAGTGGTGGCTTCGGAGCATGTGCCCGGTTGCCTCTGTGCCTCGACAAAAACTCAACGCGCACTGGGAAGCGAGCGCGGCTTAAAAGTGTGCTTCCGTTGCTGGCTTTCCCCGTGAGTGTTGGGCATCGGCCTTTGATTGTTTTGACCGGAGCAGTGATGGTGTCATTTCCGCAGAGGATGTGCAGGCACTTGATAGTGAGACTGCCAAGAAGAACTTGAAACGTTGGTTTCTATACAGACGTCTTCTTTCTTTCCGCTATTTGCCTTCCTAAAACATGAACACGTTAAAAAAACGGGGCGTTTTTCACAAACGTGTCAAAGTCTTAAGTAAACCCGTGAGGAGAGAGAGAGAGAGAGAGATAGATAGATAGATAGATAGATAGATAGATATATATATGTATACAGACATAACATACCCTGTCATTGACCAATGAACCTTTCCTTCCAAACCTTCACCTTTGATTGTATGCCAAGGCTGGTGCTACTTCTGATAGGCCTGCCCGTTTTGCTATCCTTCTTGTCTTTGAACGGAGTTGTTGGGCTTTGGTGCATGAAAAATGATTTTGGAAGCAGAAAGTGCACCTCATTGACATTTACAAGCGCATCCTAGCGTGGCGTGCGCCAGAACTAGTCGCACCGCATTGGGTAGTGCGGTGCGGCGCATTGAAACTCCACCATCTGAACTTCAAGAGCATCAAAAGAAATAGAAGTAACAATTTCAAGGGACAGGATGGTTCAAAATGGACGGGGAATGTTTGGACACATACCTAGATTGGTCATCCTGGCGCGCCTGTAAACTCTGTACTCTGATATCGCTCACCAAAATTGTTCAAACAGTTTTCTTTGCTGGAGACCGCACTTGTTTCATGTGTGGCTTGGGGGAGTTCTCGAAAAGTGAGTGCGGAGTGATTTTTGAGTACCTGCCTACTTCAAACCGAACGTGAATGAATGACATTTTGTTGGGAGACAAGCCGCGTGACGCACAGGGGAATATAGTTATAGTGTTTCCAGCTGAAAGCGGGTGCGCTTGGCTGTTTGAAGCAGCGTGGTTGGTTGTATAGTTTGTATAATTCAAACGCGGTTTTGCAAGTATTGCTTGCACACTTCACACGTACATGTCATGTGATTCATTGCCTCTGTGCTGGGCTTGTCTGGGTGGTATCGATTGGCACTTTGACTGCTCTTGCTAGTGGTGGGCAGTCAATGGCTGAGCACTAGCATATGTGACTCGAATGAACTTTGTGCAGTTTTTTTCTCCGAGGGAGTAAGCTCAGGGATTTTGTTTGGTGTGTGTGTTAACCGAATGTAGACGGCTGGGCATGTGGATGCATGGCACGCCACCCGTCGCTTGCACAGGTATGGTGGTGATTTCACTTCAGGCGGATCAAGGCCATCATCAAGGTTGGCGCTGGAACACCCTTTCCACCATAATTCATAAACGTATTGAATTTCAGCGTTTTTGACTTTGCCTTTGTTTGAAAGGTCTTCGAGAAGCAGACTTCCACTAGGACCTGAGGTGGACATTTTGTGCAGATTTTCCACAACGTGGCATGCAAGTCGCTCTTGCTTGATGAAGAGTGAAATCTGGTGTCAGGAAGCAGCGCAATCTGCACCTCCGTCAGTTCTCGCTAAGGCAAAGCACCAAGCGAGACTTTGTCTAACAAGTAAGGGCGACGAGGGACGAGGATGAGGACCATGAAAGTGAAGCTGGCCTGCGCCACTGTTTGTAAAGCCAAACGATATGCCTGCCGTTCAGGGTGGGCTGCCAGTGTAAGTGCAACATTTGTTTGTGTGCTCTGTTCATGCCATCACTTCCTTTTCACTTTTGCCGTAGCCGAGTGGCAGCGAACTACCACCCAATAATTCTCCATCCTTTGTATTTATTTATAAAAAGCTTCTCTTCCGAGTGTGTTGCGCATCAACTTGTCTCCATATTCAGATTCAGAACTACGCAAGACTCCAAACCATGACCGGCTGGGGAGTCTAAATTCAACTGGCATGGGTATAGGCTGTCTTGTCACTCAAAACCATTCTTAACACAAGCCTGAACAGCTCAACATTGATCCAACAAGCCTCCGACGCTTATCAATGACAACCCACAATGGTCACATTTAAAACATGATATACAGACAACATCTATGAGCAAGAGCAAACACAATGAGAAGCATCAATTTCAACAGTGACAAGCCGCAAACCACGACGACAGCAACAACAAGCCGTGGTGACAGCAAGGAAAGCAACACCAAACAGGACATTTCAGTGACAACGACAATGACGAACATGGCAGGCGCAGTGACAAAGCAGCTAAAAGAGACACGTGTGACAACAGGAGACAATGGCAAGAGTACCAGGCCAGCATGACAACATCAATGGCAAGCAATGACCACAGCAAAGCTGAACAGAATGATGACACCACTGAGATCCACCTGCTTTGCATGAGGCGAGCTCACAGCCGATTGTTTGTGTTGGCTCTTCTATGACAAGCTCTGGTGGCTATCCAGGTGGAATGTGCACATTGAGATAGGATTGCTAACTTTGAAGCTTTGAGCTTGCAGGCACAAGGCCAACAGAGCTTGTCATTGCACCACAAGCCCTGGGCTCGACAACCAATGCTTTCGTGTTGGTGCCTCTAGCGGCAATTCCACTTAAAATACAGATGTACAGCCAGTGGCATAGTGGCTTGTGGCATTGTTTCACTTCCAGCTTAGGCTCCAGAGATGCCTGAACCATCACGGCACGCACCGGTTGACATCATGAACTTCTTTCTGGTCTGGTTTTGGCCCGTTCGGCAAGGCAAAGTGATTGCGTGACATTTCAATCTTTGGATTCGAGCAGTTTTCCTTCAGAGATTTTTGATCGAGCCGGCGCCTGAGCTTACTCTCAGGCACAGAGAGTTTGCTGCTTTGTGTTCAAGAGGTAAGCCGGCTTGATGCGAAGAAGCAAAAGGCCCTTATGAAAGTCTTGGAATCTCTGGAGGCATCCACAGTTGCCACAACACTACAAACTAGCTAGCAGCCTCCTCACAACATTCTTTGGACGATAACAAAGCGTGTCATGCAATAAATTGTCAGCTTTGATGATCTGTATCAATGCTTCTTGTCTACCATGGAGGCTGAAGATCCTACGTGTCCTGCAGCTGCATCTGGGCTGTCCAATCCGCTCTCTGAGGATAGGGCTGCCAGCTTTCAGTTTGAGCGAATCACAGCAAACGCCGTAGCTTTGCTGACTTTGAATATTTGTTGCACTCTGCGTGAGGCAGAGCTCCGCATAAGAGTCGTCTCAAACTGGGGCGATATGAGGTTGGGGTGAAACCAATCTCAAAAAAGGGACTCTGTTTTCTGTTGCCTGGCTAAATTGCAAGGCAATGTGGGTTCTCACTGATTGAAGCTTTGGACTCCGCTGCTGAGGTGCTTGGAGGGTTCTTCTTAGTGATCATATATATATATATATATAATCACTTGCAATCTCTCCTCGGCAAAAGGTTGTGAAGATTCCTCCTGCTGCACTCTCTCTTCATGGTGCACAACAGGGATCCACAACTCTAGCTCGTGCTGCTCAACTTTTACAGACCGATGTCAAGTCCCACATGTCACATGTCAGCACAACCCTGGGGCTACTGGCGGCTACTGGGAGTTTCTCAGCTGAGGTTGTCGAGAGAGCTTCTCGAAGCATGTCACTTCCTCAGTGCACCTTCTGGAACCATTTGCCCTATTCGCTTGCGTCACGCTGCTTCCTTTGCAGGTGGCTGGCAACCGTGTGTAGATGCCTCGTTTTGCACATGGTCCTGTTTTTGTTGTGATTGGGGCGTTCTAAGGCCAAAGAGCACATTCTGCAGGACCTGTTTGTGGTTTCGAGCCCTTTGATCTCAAGCTCAACCTGCCACGAAGGCCAGTCATGAGTCCTGATTTCCTTAACGACATTTCAGGAAACGGGTATAGAGCACGGCACCACCAATGGAGCAGATCCAGTTTCACGTGAACATGTTAGCTAAAGCCTCATTGGGCACATAGGACGGGTCTGCAATGTCAAAGCCTTGGGGTTTACCATGTTTTACCACTGCCTCGCAAGGAGAGATTCTTGCATGCACTTGACCAGCCACACAAGGTGGAAAGCAGGTGCACTATATTGACTGAAAACACTGTCGCAGGACCCATCAACATTCGCGCCCCCGTCCCAATAATGCACTAATGAAACATAGAAAAAGTGTAAAGGCCGGCGGAGTGAAGATGCAACATCCCAACAGCTCAAATCGTGAAACCAAAGAGAAATTGAGACAATGCAGCCACATACGACCATCAAAAGGATCAAACCAATTCATTTGATGCCAGTCTGAAAGGCCGTTTGACCACACAAATGCAGGTCCCTGCAGGTCGGAAGGATCGGAAACAAGCTGCCAAGGTGTAACTTTGCCCGCATGGATTCCGTAGCCGCCCTAGCCTATCCAGAATCATCCTACTTCCAACCTACTCGACCGAGAGACTATGTCGGGTTCCTCCCCGAAATCCCACCCCACCCAAGCCAAGCCGAAGAACAAAGAGAACACCTACATGATGGCAACTCCAGAGGTACGTAAAGGATTTGCAAGGCCTATAAGATGCAGAGACGGCTGAATGCAGCTGTTCAGCATGATCGCACTTTTTGGAGGGAACGATGTGGAAAGACTCACACGTCCTTGCTTGAAATACTGCCAGTTCACGAGTGGCTGCCTTGCGGTTGTGGAACTTCAACAGCTTGGACGGGCTGACAAAAGGAGTGCGGGAGATCGAGGCCAGGGCAGATGTGCAACTTTGAACAGTTTGCATCTAACAGGCGCACACACTTTTAAAAGCTCTATTTGAGCCAGGTTTGGCAACGCAACTTGATGGTTTGGCTGCAGCCTTGACCAGATTTCTTATCTGCATTTGTTTCATGCAGTAGACAGGAGCTTGAGAGCCAAGGACTGGAGAAGTGCCAAAGGGCACAGGCAGTATGATGACACCGCTTCTGATCCCAATACAGCCAAGCACCGGCCTTTGACGCTGAAGACATCCGAACCTTTCCCCTCAAGCATTGGATACGAGGCTTTCCAGAAGAGTTGGCCATGGCAAAGTTCCAGGATGGAAGTTCACGCCTAGTGGCTGTAGGCTGCAGTTCAAAACATTGTTTGGCAGGATCAGACAGCGTCCTCTTCCGCAGACCATGCAAAGGATGGGTGGATTGAACAACATGTTGGAAGCACACGTTTACAATTCATTGAACAGACAAGCCTACAGTAGTGTACCATCGCAAATCTTCCACGTAGTTGTCCTGTTTGCATGTTCCGAAAAGCCTCCGACATATTGTAAGTCAGGATATTCCCATGTGGCTGCCTTCGCAAGGTGCTGAGTCTCTAGTTCTTTTTGGTGCCACAACACCTTCTCTTTCATGGCTTAGATGGATGTAGAAACAACGTCCTTTACATGATACTGTATCTCTTTCAACATACAAGGCAATCGGAAGCTTTGGAAGGCATAAATGAAGGGGCACTGGCAGTTCAAAGTTGAAAAAAGGTCAACATTTGGATGCCAGGATCGTCCACATTGGAAAGGTCCGAGTGGTCAGCAAGGCTAGGGTCTTTGCTGGTCTCGGCTTGTAAAAATGGCACGGAAAGTATTTGGAATCTGTCAGCTTAACTCAAATCTTGCGTTCCACTCAGTCATTCTCGACTGGAAGATGGTCAAGAAGAACTGCTGTAAGCTTCTCAGCATTGCTGCGTGGTGGTTGGCAATTGATTGCAGCGTTCCATTTTTTGGTTGCAGAAGTATGCAAATGAGAGCTTGGTGTCCTGGCTTTACTGTAGTTCTTTTGCTTACACGATCGAGGCAGTCGCTACAAGCCCTGGAGCTTTTTCGCTCGTCGCAAAGCCGAAGGTGGGGCAACAACCAACAGTTGAGAATTGCTCGCAGCAAGTGAAACTGCAAAACTTTCTGAGGTTGCGGCTTTCTGTGATGGTTCCCCAAACACTGTGGTCACACTAGGGGTTCTTACGGTAATGGTTAAGGCCGGGTGTCTGATCGGTGGTGCTCGTATGCGTGTGCGGCTAACTCGCTGCTATTTGCGGTAGACTCATCCACCTCGAGATCTGCGAAGTGCATTTCGACTGCGTAGGCTCGCAGAATCTGCTGGACTGGAGCGGGTGCTTTCCTCGACTGCGCTTTCGTTGTGGTACACATTTTCGGACTTGGTGGCCACTTCTCTTTTGTGGCAGGCGCAGCAGAAACTCGGCAGGTGCAGCAGATCGGGGCGGCTTTACTTTGATGTGCAGATTTCGTTCTGGTGCAGCACTTTGGACAGTTTAGACCTTTGCACATGTGGCCCGTTTTCGAGAAAATGGGGGAAGTCTTGAGAGAAAGCTTCTTTTTGGCATCTTGGTGTTGTCTTTGGAAGCGCTCTTGCTGCGAAGCGCCTCGGCAGGGCGGCGCGATGTGAATCTTGATGTGCAGATTTCGTGGCAGGCGCAGCAGTGTGGACCTTGAGCTGCAGAATACGTGGCAGGCACAGCGCTTTGTGGACCTTGAAGTGCAGATTTCCTGGCAGGCGCAGTGCTCTGTGAGCGTGGAAGCTGCAGAATTCGCGGCAGGTGCAGCACTTTGTGAGCCTCGAGTCCTCGAGGTGTAAATTTCGTGGTAGGCGAAGCATTGTGTGAACCTCGGAATGCAGATTTTGTGGCAGGTCGGTTCAGACGTCGTGGCAGTTTGTGAACTTCAAAGCGCAGATTTCGTGGCAGGTGCACCGCTTTTTGAGCCTTGACAGGCGCAGCGTTTTGTGGACCTCAAAACCTCATCGCTAGAACTCTAGATCTCTGCTTTAGATCTCTCTGCACTTCTAGGCCTTCCAGGCTTTCAAATGCTACATCCCCGGAACTTGAAACGTCTAGCTTTCTGGCCTGACACGTCTTGATCTCAAGACTCTCTGGGTCTCAAGAGCTCTAGGCCGTAGGCCTCTCTGGATCTCTCTGCATCCCAAGGCCTCTGTGGATATCAGACCTCTAGACCTCTGGATCTCTAGACCCCTAGATCTCTCTAGCCCAATACCTTCTTCTTCTTCTTCTTCTATACCTCTAAAACTCGCAAAACACTATTTGGGGTCTCTTGCCGGATAGATTCAGTGGTCAAAAATCTACGGTTCGTCTTCCAAGCTCCTTTTCCGGTATTTTGAGGCAGAGTAAGTATATTAGGAAAGAACGTCTAACCACTCCAAACTTTTTCTTCACAATTGCGAACACAGCAACTTCTACAATGATTCAAACACCCATATCCCATCTCACGTTTATGGTGAGACAATAAAATCACGTGAATTCGCTCAATTGAACCCCTGCAATCAACAAACCAAAAGAAAAACATGCCGGCGCCAGACAACTTAATACGCACATGTTGAAGAACAGTGTTTGTTTCAGTAGCGCTGTCTTAATTGATCAAACGTATTGTGAGTCTTTGCTTGATCCTAGCATGAAAACCTGGCCAAAAGCCTACAAATCACAGCTGTGAGAAGCTTCCTAGCGCACGCAGGTTCTTCCCTGGTAGACGACGAAGCGAATCAGAGGTTCCGAGCTTGGTGTCGAGATCAGTGTGTGCAAACTCAACCAAGAAGACGCGCGACTGGATGTCACTGGGTTGAGACAGCAATGACTCATAACTCATGCCAAAATTTCTGTGCTGAACTTACGACGAACATCCTTCTGCAGGATTCGAAGCAAGCGCTGGAGTCACTGCCTCACGATGGAAATCTAGCACAGCCGGAGCAACCTTGCATTTTGTTGTGGCGGCAAGCCTACGCAAGAATAACTACTTTAATGTCCCAGGCCTGTGCTGTCCGAAGATGTTTGTGGCAGATACATTGAGTTGCAGTGAGCAAACAACAAGGAAACAACTTGCCGTAATTTGGGGAACTTCCGGCCATGTGCCAACCTAACCTCTGCCAGGTACCACCACAGTTTCCAGTATTGCCGTCTCTCCGGATTTAAGGGGGGGTGGCTCCAAACGGCGCCCGGCAGGGTCTGACGACATCCCCAGACAGCCAAATGCAGCCCATCGTTTGTTTGTCGCCGCCGGGGCTTGGTTATCGCCTCTGGATATTTGGTTGCAAGCGGCGCGAGAGCTGGTGTATTCACCGGGGCCGTGTCGGTAACGCAATCTCTGATCGAAGTTTTGGTTTCAGCCAGACCTGGCCACTCGGGCCCTTTAGGATGACACAGGACTGAGTATATATGAGATTCTTGCGACGGTTCATTTTACATATTGTGCTCCTGACCAAGGTTGCTTTTCATTCTATGTTCTGTTGCGCATTTTTTACATGGATTTTCCCCTCGGGAATTGGCTGTCAAGCACTTGAGTGAAACGTCTTTCAGTTTCGGCCATAAAAGGATATCCTTTGGTGCCGCTTGAGATTCGTACGGTCGAAGTCGGGAATGCTTGGTTGCAAACGTGAGAGCGGGTGCGAAATGATCTTGTTCGATGAACGTTGCCGAAAGGAGGTTAGCAAATCAGTCCGGCGCGTTCACTAAGGCGACGTGTAATTTGGAACTTCCGGCCATGTGCCAACCTAACCTCCGCCAGGTACCAACCACCACAGTTTCCAATACTGCCGTCGCCGGATTCAGGGGTGGCTCCAAATAGCACCCGGCAGGGTGGAGAAACAACAATTGTTTGTCCATCCACGGCTTCCTGCCAACATCCCCAGACAACCAAATGCAGCCCATCGTGTGTTTTTCGCCACTGGCGCTTGGTTATCGCCACTTACTTCACTGGTTGGTTTTTGTATTTGTAAGATATTATATTTCTTTCACTGTTCTCATCAAGTTTCGATTGCTTCACTTCTTTAACTCCGTTCCCTCGGTTCCTTCTTTTGCACTTCCTCATCCATGCTGCCATCGTTGCCGCTTGGAGAGTTGTTCTTTGATTTCTGCGTTGGAGTTGTTGGAAGCTGGCGTGAACCAGTCCAAAGGGCAGAAGTTCTTTGCAAAGAAGGAGTAGCCTTGGTTGCTGACAGCGATGAATATTTATGCAGAATCGGCCTAAGCGGCCTAAGGCCTAAGGACTTTCAAAGGAACAACAGAAGACCTTGCAAACTCAGCTTCTCCCTCAAAGCCTCCAAGAGTGCTCCTGTGCTGATAAGTCTTATGTCTTCAGAAGATTTCACAAATATATAATATGCCTGCCAAAGTAAAACTGAAGAACACTGTTTTCCGTACTCAGTGTGTTTCAACTAGAAGGCCTTTTGAGTAGATTGGACAGTGCAGGTTGGTTCTAAAAAGACGTGAACTCCGGCCCACAAACGAGTTCTCTTTTGCTGCGCATATTTCTAGTTTTTTTATGTTGCACACAGAAGATGTTGTGTTTATAGCAAAGGTATTGTACTCGAAGTGTGGTAGACACGTTCTTGGATAACATCAAGCGGATCTCGCTTCAAGCACATTTTTTCTGAGTTGGGTTTGCGCCTGGCCATGTTGTTTTCTTCATCCGTATGCATCATAGACATTGAGCGTACCGTTTGCAGACGGTGAAGGCAGCTGTCATTTTCCTGAATTTCAATTCTTTCAAGATATTGAAGTACTATTTCTGCTCAAGAGAATTGCTCCATCATTTTTTATGAGCAGTCATTGACAGGATTGAATTCCATGACCTTTTGAGTTCTGAGGCCTGCTCCTCCAGCTCCCTCTCCAGCCCCAATGGTGGACCTGTCTGGTTTGTATCCAAACATTTGTCAGGCACAAGTGGCACAAGTGCGATTGTATCTTGAATCGTTCTTGCGTCCTAAAGCTTGATCACACCTGACACAGGTATTGATTATCAATCTTCCAAATCGCCAACTAGTTCTGCGCAACGAACATGGCAGGGTTTTGCAGATACTTGTGAGCAGCTGGTGGCAGAGGCCGTTGGCACTGAGGGAACTAGTTCACAAGAACTAGCAGCTAGTTTAGCGATCTTATGACACCCCCCTGCCCAGTCCAAGATGCCCCTCCTTGCTGCATTTGTGCGTTGTTTCCCTTCTCGTTTGGCCAGAGTAAAATTATGTAAAATGCGTTGTTTTCTTGATGCGCAGAGCCAAAACCGCCCCACTGCTTCCCAACGAAACCCTAGGACAAAAAAACAGTAGGAAGTCTAACTTGAAAAGATCCGCCAACCGTAGACTTTGGAGATACTTAATCGACCCCATGGGAAGCCAACAAGGCCTGCAGAGGCTCAGGCAACAAAACTGAGATGAAAGCAGCTTTTATATAGAAGTTTCAAGGCAAGAGTTCCCAACCCAAAAAAATCACAAGGGCAAGCGGCAAGGGCTTCAAACTACCGTATGGCATACCATTGAAAGTAGTTACTCTCAACATTCGTGGTCTAAACGGGGAAAACGGAATCACAAAACGGCAGCATGTCACGAGCATCATAAAAGCTGAAGGGCTGGACATCCTCTTGCTGACGGAAACACAGGTCAATACTTCAAGCGTTGAATCACTCAATGACTTTGATGTTTTCTTCAGCAGTGATGTCCAGGCAGTAAAAGCTGATGAAAACAAGCAGAATTGCAGTTGTGTTACACCGCACACTGAAACCGTTCCTCTACGAAGTTAAACATGTCAATGGAAGAGTAATGGCAGTCTGACTGAGGTCCTTAGGCGTGAGCATGGCTTTTGTTTGTTGTTGTGCACCACACATGGCGGCCACGTAACTGACCAGAAAGAAGCTTTCTATGACTCAGCGCAAGAAATTCTGGTAACTTCAATGCGTTGCAATCTCGATGTGAAAACGAACATGACGCCATGTGGCCACATATCTCTGGTAGGGGCAGAGCTTGTTTGAATGGTATAGGACCGTCTATGAAAGAACACCAGGATCTCTTTGTAGATTTCCTCAACACTGATTTCCAGAATCCCCCAGACAAACAATCGCTACTTTTCGCGAAAGCACCACGGCTCTAGGAGCTTGTAACCCGATATTATGCTCAACTGGATTATTCACACCGCTTCGCGGTCGAAGCCGCGCGAAATTGTGCAATCGCACAGACTTATATCACTGACCATTAGATTGCTCACCTGAAACTGCCAGTGAAGCTCTCAAGCTGGCCTCATCAATCGGTCCCTAGGTCTAGGTATTCAAAACCATCCCACGAGACATGGAAGCCGTATAATGAGTTCCCCATCTAAGATGGTTAGTGTCACCTGCTCCTTCTTTGCCAGTGTTCTTGTTATTGGGGCTTAGGTTTGTGGCCCTGCTCTTATTTTGGTATGGGAAAATAGAAGCCTTTTTCGTTCATGCATGTTGTTTGAGACGCATGCATGTGTTTGCTCTTGACCGTAGTGCTTTACTGTGATGTGACTGGTTGTCCAGTGTTGGCACTGCGGTTGCTTGGTTTGTGTTTTCCTTTTGCTTCCGCTCCCATGGCTTATGATGAGCTGGAAAACAGCTTGATCTGCCTCAAGAACAGATGCAGTGGGAGCGCAGCGCAGTTGGTTTTGATGCAAATGGCCACGCCGCAGAATTCTTTGAAGTGGAAAAGACCACGTCCGGCACCTTGCCACCCGACGAGAATTTCGAGCGCCCAACTGCTTAGCCTGAGCTCAAGAAATTAAGCGAAAGCATTCCCCACTGTCTTTAGCAGACACCAGCAGAGACATCGACCAACAGCTGCAGAAGATGATGCCCGCCGAGTATCATGCATTTTACAGCAGTGGTCGGCGGCCATCATTTCAGCGCCTGAAGCATCAGCAGTAGGACGGACACGCGGTTCAATGTTGTGTGGACTCCATTGCAGACTTTGTGTCCATGAAGTCCACAGGAACATTGGTCAAAAGATTGTGCGCGCGCATTTCTGTTTTGGTGTTCTGGCGCCGACAAGATACCCTTTCCTGTCTGCGTACAGTCCACGTACCAGTATGTCAAGCACTTCGCTGACAAACAGGCTGCAGCGCAATTGTATGTCGAGGGAGGTCCCACAGTCAACGCACTTCTGGCTTGGCAGCTATCGACAGTGTGCCTATGAAGCAGGCGCCGCTAGAGTGTCGACCATGCTATCACACTGAGAAAGTTTGCGTCGGCGCTCCACCGATACAAGATAGATTCTTAGCAGGGCTCGTGCTGTTTCTGTTCTCTGCGCGGTGCAGGTTTGGGGATAGGCGTAGAGCCGAGTCACTCATTCAGGACCTGATCGAAGACAAACGGCGTTCTTTTGGGTTCATCAAATTGTCGTTTCGACATTACAGCCCCCAACCACCTTGCAGCGCAGAGGGAAGGTGTTGCCAGGGGAAGCTTCCATTTTCTCCTTGTCGGGCCTTGCTTGATCTAACGCGTGGGTGCAAGAATTGCAGGTGCCTTTATGCCCGGCCTATGATGAACATGCCCTTCCGGCAGATTCTTCCACGGACTTCGAGAGTTGCCGATCTCAGAGGGGGATCAGCCCAGATACACCTCACAGGAGTTTTGTCGACAGAAACCTACAGTCGCAATGCCATGGCTCCCCCCTGATATGGCCCGCAGCGGCGTGTTGCAAGTACCTACACCGCCTGTTCCCAACTGTCAGACTATAGAGCCTCGGATTCTGATGCAGGGTCTGAGGATCTGCAAGATGACGCGCCAACTTCTTCACAAAAGTTCTGGAATCTGTCATGCTGGTCGAGACAGTTCACGCAGCCTGGAATGCGGTCAGCCGTTGTCTGACAGTTACGAATTCACTCACGCAATCATCGCTTCCACGACCAAGTGCAAAGTGTGTTTTGTGACATCCAAGAATAGTGCCGATGATGCGCGAGTTGGTGTGTAGGTGTAGAGTAGATAGATCCTTTATGGAAGGCAGGCAGTTTTAAAGTGTTTTGGGCCAGCCCTTGATTTGTGCCAGGTGTGTTGGTGACCCTGTCTGTCTTCAGGTTGCGTGAGCATGGTCTACTTGGGATGATGGCAGGCTGTTGGCAGCTCTGGGGTCAGAAACGCCAGGAGATGTCCTGGTTTTGTTTCTGGAACATGGACCAAGAGATGTCTTAGTCGGGCATGTTCTGAGCTGAAGATGTGTGTGACGGAATGCGCGCGAGAAGACGTTGTTCTGGGCTGTGTTCAGCCAGGAGCTGTCTTGGTGACCCTTTCAGCGTTCAGATCGAATGGGAAGGGAAGGAGATGTCCTTTGCCGGTTTGTCGTGCACCGACTTCGTGGCAGGTGCAGTGGATCGTGAGCTTTGGACATGTGGCCCGCTTTCAAAGTTTGGGGAAAGTATCTCCCTTTGGCTCAAACTTGTTTGTGTCAGTGTTTTTGTAGCGAAACGCACAGGCAGGGCTGCGCGATGTGAGTCTGGATGTTCAGGTTTTGTGGCAGGCGCAGCGTTTTGCGGACCACCATGTGCAAACTTCGCAGCAGCAGCTGCGGTGCTTTGCGCCTGGCAGGTGCAGCGGTTTGTGAGCTTCGAAGTGCCGCTTCTTTAGCAGGTGCAGTGGTTTGTGAACGCCAAGTGGCAGCCCCAACGCACCGTGAACTACTTTGAAGTGCCGATTTCCTGCCAGCAGCAAGCGCTTTGTGAACCTCGAAGTGCAGCTTCTTTAGCAAGTGCAGCGGTTTTTGAACGCCAAGTGCAGATTTCGTGGCAGCTGCAATGCTTTGTGAACTTTGAAGTGCCGATTTCCTGGCAGGTGCAGCGCTTTGTGAACCTCGAAGTCACAAAAGCTAGCTGTAGCTAGCTGGAGTCTGTCTTGCTTTAGCAAGGAGGGTGGGAGCCCAGGACCTGAGTGCTCATACCTGATAGGGCTATACCCCCCCTCCCCCCCGCAGGTTCAACTCCACCCTTCACCCCTGACCGTTTCTCAGTTGCTGCTGCTCCTGTTTCTATGTTTCTTCTTCTTCTTTGCTGCTGCTGCTGCTGCTGCTTGGTTGCTGCTGCTGCTGCTGCTGCTTGGTAGGCGCTGCTGCTGCTGCTGCTGTGGTGCGTAGCTGGTGGCGCTGCTTGGTAGCTGCTGCTGCTGCTTAGTAGGTGCTGCTGCTGCTGCTGCTTGGTAGCTGCTGCTGCTGCTGCTGCTTCTGCTGCTGCTGCTGCTGCTGCTGCTGCTTGGTAGCTGCTGCTTGGTAGCTGCTGCTGCTGCTGCTGCTTGGTAGCTGCTTGGTAGCTGCTGTTGATGCTGCTGCTGCTTGGTAGCTGCTGCTGCTGCTTGGTAGCTGCTGCTGCTGCTGCTGCTGCTGCTTGGTAACTGCTGCTGCTGCTGCTGCTGCTGCTGCTGCTGGAGTGGTTGTGTGTTGCCATGTGTTGGCTGTGTTGGGGTCGTATTGGGGGGGCGCTGTTGGCACTCTCCTTTTCCCTCGGCCATGGCATGTTGCGATTCCCGGCCAGGCTTTTGCTGCCAGAAGAGCCCCAGCGTTGTTTCTTTGCCTAGCTTTCGCTCCCCCCTCTGGGCCACAAGTGCAGCTTCTTTGGCAAGTGCTGCAGTTCCTGAGCCTGGAAGTGCAGATTTTGTGACCCTTCATGATTTCGCTCTTGGCCGCCGCTGCCGGCTTGTCTCCCAAGCTTGTCTCCCTTCATGATTTCGCTCTTGGCTGCCGCTGTCGCCTTGTCTCCAAGCTTGTCTCCCTTCATGATTTCGCACGATTTCACCTTGTCTCCCCAAGCTTGTCTCCCTTCATACCTTCGCTCTTGGCTGCCGCTGCCGCCTTGTTTCCCAAGCTTGTCTCCCTTCATGATTTCGCATGATTTCACCTTGTCTCCCCAAGCTTGTCTCCCTTCATACCTTCGCTCTTGGCTGCCGCTGCTGCCTTGTTTCCCAAGCTTGTCTCCCTTCATGATTTCGCTCTTGGCTGCCGCTGCCAGCTTGTCTCCCAAGCTAGTCTCCCTTCCTGATTTCGCTCTTGGCTGCCGCTGCCGGCTTGTCTCCCAAGCTTGTCTCTTGGCTGCAGCTGCCGCCTTGTCAGTTATAAGATGATTTAGGCCTTGTTTACCTTTTCCATCCTTTTCCCGGCTTTGAGTGGGATGTCTCCCAAGCTTGTCTCCCGCTCTTGCCATGGTGTCCAACTTTTCTTTATATAAGTGCTATCTGGGCTCTATGCCGGCGTAATTTTGTTCTACTTGACACTGTTTGGGTTTTCGCGCTGAGATCTTTTTTGACCGTATCTTTTCATGCAGTTTTTTACCCACCAAACAGTTTACTGTTAGGGGTTCTCAATTCTTTCTTAAGATGTGCCCGCCCTTTGTGTGCTCGTGTCCGCCCTTTTCCGCTGGCCATGTAGCATTTCTATTCATTTGCAACATTTCTGTTCATTTGTCTCCCAGGTCTGTCACTGGCGGTGTCCGCCCTTTTCCGCTGGCCATGTAGCATTTGTCTCCCAGGTCTGTCGCTGCTGGTGCCCGCCCTTTTCCGTTGGCCATGTAGCATGTCTATTCATTTGTCTCCCAGGTCTGTCACTGGCGGTGTCCGCCCCTGGCGATGTAGCAATTCTATTCATTTGCCTCCCAGGTCTGTCACTGCTGGTGGCTGCCCTTTACCACTGGCCCATGTAGCATTTCTATTCATTTGTTTCCCAGGTGCGTCACTGCTGGTGTCCGCCCTTTTCCGCTGGCGACGCAACATTTCTTTTCATTCCCCAAACAGGTTGCCGTTGCGTAGGGTTTCTCAATTCTTTCTTAAGATGTGTCCGCCCTTTCTGTCACTGCTGGTGTCCGCCCTTTTCCGCGGGCCATGCAGCCTTTCTATTCATTTGTTTGCCATGTTCCTTATTTACTTTTGTTTTCCACTGGCGTCCGCCCTCTTCCCCTTTCCAGCATTTCTATTCATTTGTCCCCCGCATAATTTCTGTAACGCCCCAAACAGGTTACTGTTAGGGGTTCTAAATGCTTTCCAAGAGTGTCCGCCTTGCTGCCGGACAGCGTGTCCGCTTTCCGTCCCGCTTGTCTCCCTTGGTCTCCCTTCTTGTTGGTCACTGTGCCCCTTCTTGTTGGTCACTGTGTCCGCCTTGTCTCCCTTGATTCTTTCTTTGTCTCTGGTCTTGTCATCTTGTCTCCTTTCTTGTGGGTAAATGTGTCCGTCTTGTCTCCCTTCTGTTTCCTTTTGTCTCCCTTCTTGTTGATCATTGTGTCCGTCTTGTCTCCCTTCTGTTATCTTTCGTCTCCTTTTTGTCTCCCTCTTGTTGGTCATTGTGTCCGCCTCGTCCCTTCTGTCTCCCTTTGTCTCGGGTCTTGTCTCCCTTCTGTTTCGTGTCCGCCTTGTCTTCCTTCTGTTTCTTTTTTGTTTCTGGTCTTGTCCCCCTTGTTGTTGGTCACTGTGTCCGTCTTGTCTCCCTTCTGTTTCCTTTTGTCTCCCTTCTTGTTGGTCATTGTGCCCGCCTTTTCTTTGTCTGCCTTTTTGTCTCCCTTCATTGTGTCCGCATGTCTCCCTTCTGTCTCCCTTTGTCTCCGGTCTTGTCTCGCTTCTGTTTCGTGTCCGCCTTGTCTTCCTTCTGTTTCTTTTTGTTTCTGGTCTTGTCCCACTTGTTGTTGGTCACTGTGTCCGTCTTGTCTCCCTTCTGCTTCCTTTTGTCTCCCTTCTTGTTGGTCATTGTGTCTGCCTTGTCTCCCTTTGTCTCCGGTCTTGTCTCCCTTCTTGTTGGTCATTGTGTCCGTCTTGTCTCCCTTCTGTTTGTTTTTTTCTCCCTTCTTGTCCCTTGTGTCCGCCTTGTCTGCCTTCTTTCCTTTACATGTGCCTCCTCTCTCCCCCTCTCGCTTGCAACCCTTCACATTTGTCTCCCTGCTCTGCCCTCTGCAATCCTTTACATTTGTCACCCAGCTCTGGGCCGCATGTTGCTTGCAATCCTTTACATTTGTCTCCCTGTGTCTGCATTTGTCTCCAGCTCTGGACTGCTGTGGCCGCCTCTGCCTTGCAATCCTTTGTTTGCCAGCTCTGGACGTCGCAAGCTCTAGTTGCAGAGTGTTCCGATCTTGAAAATCACAAACTGTTTGGTGGTGTAATTGAAGTGCTTCACTACACGCGTGAGCAAGAAAGGTAAATATATCAAGGAAGAGCGGGACACATGAATTTGTTCTTCGAAGTTGCCAGTCTTTCCTCTGGACAATTTGACCTGAAATTGAGCCAACAAGAGGCAAGGCGGTAGAACTGTATTTGTATCGTGCGTGCTATGGGTAGACACAGAATGACACAGCAGCCAGGAAAGGTGGAACAAAGGACTGGTCACACACATGCCCGATGCCCTTGCACTGTCCCCTTGCATTTCCACACCGCCCAGATCTGTGGCCAATGTCCTTGACCTTCAGAAACTGAGGGCCTGCTCTTTCTGAGTTCAGCCCGCCCGCAACGTTGCATCAGACAACTCAACCGGGGTATATTCTCTAACACCAATGTGTCCATGGGTTTCTTTGTGGTCAAGGCAGCAGCGATGGGGCTTGATCTTCCTGTTCGAACCTTCGATGGAACCGACGTGCTGGATAGCCCATTGCTGAGATACTGATGAAACAGTAGGAACCTTCGAATAGAACCTTTTCGGGATTTGTTTGCCATTTGTGTTGGCAGTATTTTGGTGAGGCTTGATGTCATCGGAGCCACGTGTTATGGGCCTCTGCCTTGATGTTCATATTGGAAGCTGACTTGAGAGCCGGCGATGTGACCAAGGTTCATCCCTTGTTGCCAGCCAACTCAGCCAACTTCAAAGCGTCCTCACCCTTGCCAAATGTTCAATCAAAGGCTTCGGTCCAGGAAGCAAAGAAACAAGTCACGACTGAGGCGGTAATTCCCACTCTTCCTTGTGGAAGGTGGGATGTGCTAGAAGGGCTTTATCAGTCATGCGTTCATTACAACATCAGTTCAAATCAACTTGTTCTTTTTCAGTTGAATCAGTTGAGGCAATTGGTTTTCAACTGCGTGTCCACTTGGGGTGACAAGGACTTTGTAGGTCTTGCAGGAGTCTGAAGCCAAGCTACTGCATCCACCAGGTGATCTACATATAATGTCATGAAACGCTTCAAGCGGTCAAATCAAGTCTGATCTTGAATTTCACTGGACTAAGATCGAATTGTTTGATGGACGTGGCTTTCCAGTCGTTTTGAAAGATGTTGGTCGCCAGGTGCGGCTCTGATGTTTTGTGCGCAATGCTTCCTTGCTCTCTTTCCCACTCAATCCGCTCCTTCCACGTGGTTGTGTTCAGGTCAAAGCAGATCCTCATTCCATCAACGCCACATGGCTGAAATGACACATTGTCCAGACAAAAGAGAGTCGTTGTGTCGAGGTCCTTGGCGACTACGACCGTGATCCCCGTACTCCAGACAAGCTCTTCGATCAGGTCGTATTATTGAATGTATGGCGTACAATAACTGTATATGTTGTTTCTTTTTGAGTGGGTTAGAGGTCAATTTGACTCGAGATGACCTTCATGTCTGGCCCCAGCCTTGGCCACAACCCGTCTTGATCGTCCAATGGCGAAAGCATTTGGCTCTTCTCCTGAATTAAAAGATGTCCTTCATTTCCTTTGCTCTGTCCATTCCTTTCTTACTTGCAAAAAGGTTGGCTCCTTTCTTTGGTGGCCGAGCTCACACGGTGCGAATTTCACGGATTCTTTTTGTGGAGCTTTCATAGAAGCCTTAGCAAGCTAGTCACTGCTAGCCAAGAGCTGGCCTGCTCGCAGATCACAGTCGATTTGGAATGCGAGATGGAGATCAGCATGATTAGAGTGTCTCAGATATTTGTGGCGTCAATGGAAGACACACAGAGGGTCCGTTAGATATGCGGCTCAATGCTTAGGTCTGGAACTACAACAAGTCTCGCTTGCATTCAAGCAGAGGTGTGAGGCAGGATTTTGGGACAGTTCTTGGATTTCCACCAAGTTGGACGGCCGCAGGGACATGGAGATCCTGCTGGACGGTTTCCCGATTTTTCTGGGTGAGGTGCAGCTGCATTGTGAGCCCAATTGGGGTGATCTTGCGCACGATCAGATTCGACGAGCGCCCGGCGTGCTAACGGAGCCCGAAGAGGACAGGCTGTCCTGTTTAGGTCTTCAGACTCTTCAGAATCTGATAGAGTCTTTACTGTAGCTGTTTTTCCCGAGAGCGTCTGCGAAGGGTTTTTCGTAAAAAAGCATCTGTAGAACTACGTCTCATCTACATCTTCACATCTTCACATCTGCGCATCTACATTTGCGCATCTACATCTCTGCTCATCTTCACATCTGCGCATCTCACATCTGCGTATCCTGTCGCTCTTCTTTTCTTTCTCTCTTAAGGCCAGGGGCGGTGCCGCCGGAACGAAACGCAACCCTCTGCGGAGATCGTGCGCGTCGAGGGCGCGAAATGCAGGCAAGATTGGGTTTTGGATTTGTCGCGGGCAACCCTCTGCGGAGATCGTGCGTGTCGAGGGCGCGAAATGCAGGTGAGATTGCGTTTTGGATTGGTCCCGCGCAACCCTCTGCGGAGATCGCGCGTGTCGAGGGCGCGAAATGCAGGTGAGAGTCAAGGGCGTTTCACTTTTGGAGGAAGTGTCGTACCAAGCGCTCGTTTTGGAGACTTGGCGCTTCACTTTTGGAGGAAGTCTCGTACGAAACGCTCGTTTTGGAGACTCGGCGCATCACTTTTGGAGGAAGTCTTGTACGAAGCGCTGGTTTTGGAGACTTGGCGCTTCACTTTTGGAGGAAGTCTCGTACGAAGCGCTGGTTTTGGAGACTTGGCGTTTCACTTTTGGAGGACGTCTCGTACGAAGCGCTCGTTTTGGAGACTTGGCGCTTCACTTTTGGAGGAAGTCTCGTACGAAACGCTCGATTTGGAGACTTGGCGCTTCACTTTTGGAGGATGTCTCGTACGAAGCGCTCATTTTGGAGACTTGGCGCTTCACTTGTGGAGCTGGACTCAGACCTGGCCAGTTTGTAGCGACAGTGCAAACGTAGTGCGGGAAAGATCTTTTCGGAGCTGAACTCAGAAGTGGCCAGTTTGTAGTACAAATGTAGTGCGGGAAAGAGCTTTTCGGAGCTGGACTCAGACCTGGCAGTTTGCAGTGCAAATGTAGTTTGGGAAAGAGCTTTTTGGAGGTGGGTTCAGAAGTGGCCAGTTTGTAGTGCAAATGTAGTGCGGGAAACAGCGTTGCGGAGCTGGACCCAGAGGTGTTTGCTTCTAGTGTGATATGATTGCTTGTAGTGTCGTGTGGCGAATTACGTTGGTGATGTCGCAGTGCCAGATTTGTGAGGTCTTGGTGGGAAGTGCATTTGCGTGGCGCCGTGCCACTGGGGAGCGCGAAGCATGCTGGTGTAAATGCGGCGTGTCGCTGGTGAGCGGGGTGATTGGCGGTCTCGTGTGATATGATTGCTTGTAGTGTGTGGGCAGACCGTGTGGCGAAATTACGTTCGTGATGTCGCAGTGCCATGCGGATTTGCGCGGCCTTGGTGGAAAGTGCGTTTGCGTGGTGTAAATGCGGCGTGTCGCTGGTGAGCGGGGTGATTGGCGGTCTCGTGTGATATGATTGCTTGTAGTGTGTGGGCAGACCGTGCGGCGAAATTACGTCCGTGATGTCGCAGTGCCATGCGGATTTGCGCGGCCTTGGTGGGAAGTGCGTTTGCGTGGCGCCGTGCCACCGGGGAGCGCGAAACACGCTGGTGTAAACGCGGCGTGTCGCTGGTGAGCGGGATGTTTGGCGGTGTCGTGTGATAGGATTGCTTCGAGTGTGTGGGCAGACCGTGTGGCGATTTACGTCCGTGATGTCGCAGTGCCATGCGGACTTGCGCGGCCTTGGTGGAAAGCGCATTTGCGTGGCGCCGTGCCACTGGGGAGCGCGAAACAGGCTGGTGTAAACACACCCACACATCTGCACATCCACACTGTCACTCCTTCACATCCGCCCTCTCTTTCTCTCCTTCTACATATCTATTCTCTTAATATGTTAAATCTAAATTCTTCGCAGCTTCTTACTCAATAACAGATTGTATAAAGAAGTCGTGGCTCTTGGACAACTCGATTTTAACTATTTCTTTTCTCGGAACTGCTTGACAATCCTTTCTCGCTCTCGGGCCAACCGTCGTCTAGTTCTTTTTGGCTATCCTATTGCGGTGGAGGCCTGCGAAGTGATTCTGTTCACACAGGATGAGTCTGTGCTTGAGGCCAAAGGCAGACATCAAGGTGTCAACTAAATGCGTCATATCTTCAGGCTGTTGCAGAGCATGACTGGCTTCCGGCTTGTCTTCCGCTGGACTCCGAAGAGGAGGCACCCATTGAGTGTTGTCAGCAAAGCCTGCGCTGAAGTCTCGCTTTCCACACAGGAACCTGGTGAGGAGGCACCGAAACTGACTGGTTTGTTTAGTATAAGGCTGTGTGATTGACACATGTGGACAGATGCACTGCAAGTTTTAGGTTGTAACTGCTGAATGTGTGGGCCAAGTCAAGTATCCAAGACATTCACTTGCATTTTCACATGTCGGAAGAGGATCTCCTGAATCAAGGAAAGCTATTGCTACTAGGGTGGAGGCCATCGTTCTTAGGTTGGAGGCCAATCCTCTGTCCCTAAAGATCTAGGAACCAAATGAATAGTGCGAGTGCCTCTTCAAGAAAGCTTCCCCCCGCCACCTTCAGGGCGGCGGGGGGAGCTTCCTTGAAGAAGTGTGAGCTATCCTTTGTCCTAAGTAGTAGCTGCTTGTAAGTAGTAGCTACCTCGCCGTACTAGCTACCTCTAGCTACTACTGGCTACCTAGCTACTCGCGGCCTACCCCCCCAAAAAGATCAGACCGCTGCGCAAGAAAGATGCAGGCTGACGGCAAAGCTGGGGAGGGAAGGCCGCCAACAGCAGGCTTGCAGGCGGGCAGTCTTGGAGCGCCAAAGCAGAGAGTCTTCTCTTAGTGCTGCGAATATGGGAAGCACATGCCTTTACATGGTTTTGGGCTGACCCACTCCCCAATTGAAAGGCTTGAGCTGGGGATTTCTCAACGAGCAGAGTAGTGTATATACAAATGTTTTGAACTAGTCGTACCAAATGATTCATGCAAGCATGCTGACCCCATGAGCACAACGAGCGACACCTTTAGGTAAGCTACGTTGACTCGCCCAGGGGGCAGGTGGGGACAGAATGCACCCTCCATGCACCTCTTTCATGCGCTATGGAAAGAGAAAAAAAGAAGACTGACATCAGATGAAATGGGCATCCAAGAGAATGTGTATCAAAGAAACCAAACAAGTATATATTGAAGTCTTTGCTTTGGTTCCAAGCTATGGTGCACGTGGCACCTGACCAGAAGACTCCTCGGGCTGGTCTGGATGGAAGACCTATGACTCGAGCAACAGAGCGACAAAGACCTCGAGGGAAGGCTAGGCGGTTGGGTTTGGCTGGGTTCGGAAGACAGGAAGCCATACAAACTGGATACATACAATTTCAAGTGTCTATTTATGTCTTGCTCACACACACACACACACTAACTTTAAACAAATATGAGTTTATATGCAGTATACACTTACAGGCTCTGTCTCCAGGAATCTAGTCAAAGGTCGATTAGACCAGAACAATGGGGCCGATTTGGAATCCTTGCAGCTGATTCTGTCCGCACTTGGTGTCAGGTGTGTAGCAGTCTGACGATTACTGTCTGGCTGGCTTCTTGCAATGACAGCTGAATACGAGATAATGCTCGTGATTGATTTTGTAGGGGTTGTTCGAGAGTGCAAAAAGTGGTGCACTGTCTTGAACCATGTTTGAGACTCCTACGAACTTGAAGCTTCTATCTATAAGTGCAGAATCTTAACTGGAACTAAATTTGCAGAATGCTTGACAGGTCCACTCGACGTGGGGAGATCAGTTCTATGTTGGTCTAACAGCACTTGAGGCGCTGAAGATGTCCCGGACAGCACTTGGACCACAAACTTGAATGATGTCATCTCAGGTTCTGGACAGCTCGCTGAATGCAATTCAACGTCATCAGGCTCCAAGTTGAGACTTCAAAGATGTTGCCATGTTTTGAGAAGATACATGTTTGAAGTTGTTGTTGGTATGTTAGAAGTGTATCTATAAACCAGATATAGTTTGTGCAGGTGAGACTTGATGCATTTCCAAGAGACTTGAATGACCTGGAGGCCAAGAACACCAGAGCTTGTTGGCATACACACCTGAATTGCTTATCGGTGGTGTGGCAGGGAGTTGATGATGATCTTCGAATCCTGGACAACATCTTTGACGGGGCGCAAGTGGCACAGTTATCAGCGCGGGTTCTCACAGCAACTACTGTTCGGTACATATTTGGCCACTTCTGTTTTGCATATGGGAGCATACAGTATCATACAGTTGATGGTTTTGGTTTCTTTCTTCAAACAACACACGACATGAAGTTAGGGTGGCGGTGTGATTGAAAGCATGCATCATGACCTGCCAATTTTGCCACGGCAGGTTTGTTGTACCACTGATGACTCTCACATGTGGCTCGCTCCCTTTCTCAAGGTAGCAAGATAAATATGAGAGGAGCACTGCTGTTTTCCTTCTGATTGACAATGTAGGTGCCCAACAACTCCGTCGGCGATGCTTCTGAAGCGGTCCGTAGTGTCAGATTGTGCCATTTCATCATTGCTGTTTTCTGTTCAAACGCTTTGGTGACAACTGATACACACAGTGTCGTCTGCCCAGAATCAGCGAAATACAATCCGCCTTGACTTCGCCAACCCATGCGAGGCGCGACATGCCCGACTTTGGTGAACTGGGAGGTTCAAGCGAAGCTCATGGCTATTTGAAAGGGTGGTTCCTACCTAGGTTTCGATCTTGTATGGCATCGCCCTTGCTAATGGCAAGATATACTTCCTGTAGTTTTTTTTCCTTTTTCGAGTCCGACTTAAGCCGCAAGCCACTGCAGCTGCTGGTCAAAAAGGTCGGAGTTTGGGCCAAACAGGTTGGGTCTGGGCGCGTACCACGGAAGCTCTGGGGATCCACGTGCATTGACTAGAGAGGAGAATAGAAACAGTCTCAAATTCTGACAGAAACATCCGTTCCAAGATGTTCTCCTCATTCTGTTCTTATGACCATTGCCAACTTTTTGAGAACTACAGTATGTTTCTTCACCTTCTTTCCATTGCCTTTATTCCTCGCTCCCTCTCTCTCCATCAACTCAATTTCTCACCTGACCTTATCTCAATTTCAAACATGGTCCTGTTCACTTTTTTTCACCTGCACTCAAGCTGAGCCCCGCCACCAGATCATCCATTTTTTGTCTCCCAATCCCTGGCTTCAAACCTTGAGTCAGGTGGCTGGATTCAACATTTGGAACTACAACAAAAATATGGAGGACACATATTTGAGAGGTAAAGAGAGAATGCTGCTTTGACAGGCTATTTTTGCAAAGGACACTTGCAGAGGCATTCGAGAATTTTCAGTGCATTGTGATGACAGGCCTTTCAAGCTTGCAGTCTGGTGGTGGTCAACTGGTTACCCATGTAGCTGTTTTCCTCCATTCGCACGGATCTTGAGGTACGTTTCAACATTTCTTTGTCGGAAGGCTCCAGGTGTGGTGCTGTACTTCAGCAGAAAGTGTTGCTTGAAAGCACCAAACCTCGACAGGTCACACCCATTTCGACTTCAAGCAGCTGGTTCTCCTTGATCAGCCTCCTTCGGTGCGCTTTGCATTTGGCTTTGAACTTGCGCCAAGAGAAGTTGCTAAGGACACTGTGAGACGTTCTGCACGGGCCGCTCCTTTGCCTTCCCGGTCTGCAAGTAGGTTGGACAAAGCAGGACCAGCGATGACCAGTTTGTGGATGTGTTTGAGTTGCAGGCAGCGAAGTAAAGCGGAAGGCCGTCCTCCACAGGGCCGGCCACCTTCTGGATCAAATAGGCCCAGACTCAAACTACTAGTGATCTGTTGCCAGCCACAATTACTGTATTGCTTTGTATAAAGTCCCTAGATTCACTTTGACCTTCAGAAGCCTCAGGCTTAGGCGGCACCCCTCTCCTGGGACCGAGCCCATGGACCCGTGGGGCCAGTAGTAGAGGATCCGCCAAAAGATCCAGCACCCCTATCCTATCCTATCCTATCCTGCTTGCTTACTGTATCCGTAAGACTCAACACCATGGCTTACTGTTTAGGAGCCCTCCTGTGCCCAGCTGCCACCACCCCACAGGACACAGTTGTTTGGTTAAGATTTTAGCAATTCTGCTTTGACAATTGGTACACAACCCTTGTCTTCGTGACAGTCTTACTTAGGCAAATCTATGGTAGACATTGATTCGTCTAATGATGAAGTACCGGACGCAAGCACAAAATGCAAAAGACCTTGAGCACCTCTTAGATCTTCCTGGAGCCTGCTGATCTTTTTTCAGCCAGCGATAGTGATAAGTAGGGCCGTAGAGCGTGCACAGGTCACGTGAGGCTAAACGTCAGTGAGATTCCCAGCCGACCCTCGATTCATTTGCCTCTTCAATGCTCCCTGCCATCTTTGACAAGTGACATGTGTCAGGACTTGTGCATCTCATGATTGGCGTAAGACCTACTGTAGTTCCTCTTGCGGGTAGTATTCTGCATTCGGCAAACTCTGAAACCTAAACAACATGGCTCACTCATGTCGATCACACAATCTTGGCCAGCAATGTTTCTTGAGCACGCTTGTAATTATAAATATTACATAATGATATGACATGATATGACTATATTTATCAACTCAATAATCTCGGGTCCTCCCTCTCAAGAGCACTTTTGCAGTTGCATAGTCTTTTAGTTTTAGATAGCATTATTTACATGCACCCCTGGGGTCTACTTATGTCGGGGAGGTCATGAGGACTGTAAAGAAAGGTTAACCAACCCGCCGCCCAACCAAGGTACAGAAAAGAAGCAGGTAGAACAACAAAAGGAGCAGGTAGAAGAACAAAAGGTAAGAATAGCAAGAGAAGAACAAGGAACAAGAAGAACCAGACAGAAGAAAAAGGAGGACGGACGACGATGAAACGCACACAGAAGAAGCAGAAGACAAGCCCGCAGGCCCGTGAGTCCCATAGAGCCAATAGAGTCCGTAAAGTGAAGCCCGTGAGCCAGTAGAGTATGTAGATTGAAGCCTGTGAGCCCGTCAAGCCTGTGTAAGGGCTTGATCGCGTGGGGCCCGGTGTCCTGGCAGGGGTGTGAACAGTCACACTACACCAAAGCTGAATGCATTACATTTGCCAGCCGGCGTTGCAGAGTGGAAAGTTGGGCACTCAAGAACTCACAAACATTCAGTTCTCTTCGTGTCGGATTGTCTATGTTCAGTGGGATGATTTCATTGCGAGAGGGATCAGCGTCTTCCGCTCCATCCGCTCCACCTGCTCCATCCACTCCACCCGCTCCATCCGCTCCATCCGCTCCACCTGCGCCATCCGCTCCATCCGCTCCATCCGCTCCATCCGCGCCATCCGCTCCATCCGCTCCATCCGCTCCATCCGCGCCATCCACGCCATCCGCTCCATCCGCTCCATCCGCTCCATCCGCTCCACCCGCGCCATCCGCTCCATCCGCTCCATCCGCTCCATCCGCTCCATTGTGCAAAGTCGTGTTTCAATTTGGGGAAGCTAAAAAATGACATCTTTATGTCTTTATAGGCTTGATAGTTTAGTTAACTATTAGCAAGTGAGCCCAACCTAGCTAAAGGAATTTAGCTAATGGCTACATATAGCAGACAACATTCACAACTTCAGTTTGACTATATAATGAGCTAAGCCAATTTTTGTTTAATTTTCATATGATGTTGGAGCTGCGTGCCGCAATTACTAAAACGGTGCTATAACATTTTGAAAGAGGTGCTAGTCAGATACTACTTGGTAAATACAGTCCTTTAAAGCCAAGTCCTTTAAAGCCTTAGTGCACTAGCAAAGCAACGGCTGATCTAAGTATGAAGAAATTACATCACTTCGAGTGATCCCCGCCATGACATTTCAATCTGTCAAAATTTCTGGCATGTATTGAAACATTATTGCGGCATTCTATACAACATTTTCGGAGTGCCCGGTTCCAAACAAGTTTTAATTTGCACCGGAAATGAGTTTACTTGTGCAGACCTACTTACTATGCCCACTGCTACGTGCGCACATGACCGCGTGCGCCCAAAGCACCCCGCTCGCACTCCTTGCGCGCTGTGCCCCGGAAGTCACAGTGTCGAAGGCTGTCGGAGGCGAGGCACGGCAGGCAGCGCAAACGGCGCAGGCGGCGCAAGCAGCGCAAGATTCGCAAACGGCACAAATGGCGCAAGCAGTGCAAGCAGCGCAAGCGGCGCAAGCGGCATGTCACGCATACCTGTCCCAAAGTCGATGTGAGTGACCCTGATGTGATGTGTGAATCTAGCACCTGGCAATCTCCCACTTGGTTCATGAATGCTTCTTGCAGTTCGTCATGTGTGTTGGCTCTGGAATCAAAAAATATGGGCAACATGAGCCGATCTTGGAGCGCTGCTGTCAGGGTTCGCTGGTTTCCGAATCAAAAACAAATTGCGCGTTGTTTTATGAAGGCATTGGATTTCTTCTGGAAAGTGTGCAGCACTTATTTCAACTGTTCAGCCGCGCCAATACTGTGATGTTCTTAGATACAGAACCCCCTGTCGTGCTGACCTCTTGCAAACCCTTTGGGTTTGAGTCGGTGCGTCCAACCTCTTCAGTTGTTTCTCAGCATTCACAGGGTTAACTGGTCCCCAAGATTTGCAAGCCTTGGGTCCAACTGTTGCTAGGTTGGGGTTTGATTCATTGTGTCCACGGAACCATCCTTGCGTTGTGGATTCTGCATCGCAAGAAGCTGCCGCCAGAACTCCGAAGCTTTTGGATTTGCCCAATAGGCTCCAGAAGATCCCAGGTAACTCTACTACCAAGTGCACATGCAATTGGCAGCGAAGAGTCCCTTTTGACCTTGCCTGAACACCAGTTCTTCCTCAACCTGCAATTCTTTTTCCCGAATGCGATACAATGGCTCAATTGGCGCCCTCCTCAACCCCTGTCCCGCAGGCCACATGCACAAGTAGCAACATTTGATGTGGGATGCGTCTGAGAATAAATATTCGGGTTAGTTTCCAATCATAGTCGTAAATACACCAGATACACACCCTTAGTTTGCCAGGAACTTTCCTGAATGTAAACATTGAGCTCTGAATATTTTATGTATTATCCACTCATTTCTATTTCATTGGCATGGACAGCACAAAAAGGAGATTGGAGCGGAGACAACTTTGAGAATTGTGAGCACTGGGATGCCAACAGCCAAAGTGGAAGATGCCCTGGTTATTTTGCATTGCTTCAGAAGCACCAAATTTGTTATGCAGCTGCTCCACCACCCGAACTCCAATTTTAGATCATGTGCACGCATGGTGCTTATAAAAAACGGCTGCTGGCAGAAGAGCTCCTGAACACATTGATTCTCCTCTTCGGCAACAGCACTCCTGGCCTGCTTGACATGGTGAGTAAATTCTAAATGAAGTGTTTTCGATAATTAAGTTTCTCTATGGTTTGGCCGTGTCTTGATGCCTGTTTTCTCATGCTTGTCAATGTTTTCTCTCCGTGTTTGCACTGCAGCATCACTGCGGAGGTATGAGACTCCCTTGCATCCTTGTGGCTTTATTTTCAAATTCCTTTTTCACACCACGTGGTCCGATGTGAACAGCTCAGATGCTGTCCTCTTACTTTAACTTGGCATATCAGTTCTGGTTGACGCATTAGGTGCACTACATCGGACTTGACGGAATCGAGGCGTGGGTTTATGATGCTTTTGTAGCAACACTATGAAGCACAAATGCTTCTTGTTGGGATTTTTCGAGATGCAGTGTTTGACAAATGATTCTGGCCAGATCTATGATCAAATGGGTCGAGGATTGAGGCAGTCCAATAAGCTTCATGGACTCAGCAGCATTTTGCAAGATTCGATCTGAGAGAGTGCACTATAAAGGCCGAAGCGGGCATACTCAAATCATGGGAGTGTCAGGCCACGAACCTTGTCATGCCTTGAGTGCCAGTGAAGCGTGCCGATGTGTCAGTATGGCCAAGGGACTTGTGCGGAATGGAAGCCGATGTCCGCTCAGAGGTGTCCATATTCCTTGAATATTGAAGATATCAGATAAGTCTAAAGCACTGTGCAATTGTGAAGACTGTGAAATTTCTCGAGGACTCACTTCTCAAGGGGGCACCGCAGAACTCTCGCATGTGGTGCCCCCCTGAGATTCTTTGTGTCTGATTTACTTCCATTGCAGCGGTGGGGTGTTTCGAGTATTTGTTTCGATCAAGCAAGTTCTGCTTTCCTGAAAGCACATGGGAAGTTTGTTTTTCCTTTTCCCAAAGAGAATCTTCTGCGGGTGTCACGCGTGTCAGAGTGCTTGGGCGTGATTTTCATAGAATACTGGTGTGGAGGCACGCGCCCTCCTTTCATTTCGCTTTCAGTTTCTTTCAACGTTTGACCTCTCATTTTCCTTCTCGTTTCTCGTTTTATTTTCCTTAAAACCTTTTCAGACTCCTTTAAGCTCTTTTCATTTTCCTTATGCAGTTTTGTCATGTTCCTTTCATGTTCCTATGCAATCTTGTCATGTTACTTTCATTTTCCTTGATATACGTATATTTGTATATACTTATCACGAAAGCCAGCCGATGAAGTGAGTATTAGGGAGTGTGGGGGGGTCGGGGTGGTTGCGTGGTGGTACTTGGCAGGTAGGGTGAACCCAGAGCCTGGTGGGGAGAGCGGAAAAAATAGGTGGACCAAATGCAATGAAGCTTGTAACTTTTAAAGGGCCTTTGGTGATGCAAGTGATGCCTACAAAGGTTGAATAGTGCATCAATAGCATCACAAAGTGGCCAGGGTTTCATTCAAGTGGATAGCAGTCCCCAACAAACATGGACACGGTCGGCCGTAGAGACAGCAACCTGCAAGCAGGCGGGTTATCACTATAAAGACCTCAGTGGTATCAGCAAAGGGTTGCTTTCTGTACTGCTCCCCTGTAGCGTCTACGTGGCCCAAGAGATGGCTAACAGACTGGGTATTTGTGGTGGTGCCTTCCATTTTTGATCACTTTGTAACGGCTTTGGGGAGGACGACAAGGGTTTCAGTAAAGGAGTGCTATCTTCTGGAATCTAGCTAGGTCCCCCCAAGCAGCTGTGAGGAAAGTGCGTTGAAAAACTATACGTCGAAAATACGACAGCGGCCAGCACTCACCATCAATAGCCAACAAATACAAGGTCAAAGACGCTCACTACAAATATATAATTGTTGCCACTTCCCCAAAGAAACATTTTATTCCAGAGAGCATAAACTTTGCAGGTTTTGGAGGACACAGAGTGCAGGTATAGATGCATGAGTGTTTCGACCTTTTTTTTCAGAAGTGCGTGCATATAATGTGCAGAACGTGCGTGTCTTTTCCCTTCCATAAAACCCAAGCCTGACTTTAAAACGGGCAATGATAAGCACCGTTCTTTTTCAGCGCCATGTGGCCTGGAAACCTCAGTCTGTATTCTTTGATAGCCGTGCCTACACTCAAAATAGCAAAGGAGGGCTTGAACCATTTTTTCGAGGACCCTGTTTCTATTAGCAGGCTGGTTTATAGAATCAGTCATGTTTTGAGATGTTGTGTATTGTGGCGTGTCTGGGGATGACACTTCTCTGTACAGGGCTCAAGACATACAAATTCAGGATTCCAGATAGAAAATGATCACCCACATTCTTGCAGGTGGCAAAGGCTTGGGACTTGGGATGTTTTGCACGCAGCCCGTGGCTACCCTCAAATCACTTTCTAAATCCTTGCCTTACCTGATCAAATTTTTGACGTTGGCTACCACTGATCTATTTTGAGAGCTCAGTTTTTGCAACCTTGGCCCGCTCTGATTTTGTTTTGACTTCAGCTTGGCTACTCTGATTCTATTTTATTTTGAGGGGTTCCAACCCCTCCCTGCAACATAGAACGGCTATTTCTTTAAACTGAGCCACAAACCAGCCACAGATTTTACAAAACTTGGCCTTAGCCGTTACTGCAAGAACCCCTAGTGTTACCACATTGTTTGGAGAATTACAAACGTGAATTGGACAGTCACAGGCTGTGACCTCATGAGTGCCGAGATCTCACTGGACCAGGAATCCAGCCCTACAAGTCCGGTTGGCTGGGCGATCCATAAGTCCGGCAGACCTGTGACATTATAGGGATGTCCTCCAACCTACCAGCAATGGCCTCCAACCTACTAACGGCCTCCAACCTCAAACTTCATCAATTTGTATTATCAAACTGGCCAGATCATCCTGACTTGTCTCATCCTTTTGGTGCACAAACCCTAGACTGTCTATGTCGATCAACGCGGCGCGCGTGACTGCTGAGGATAAAAACCGCGTGGCGACAAAGATTGCGTTGTAGCAGCGTTTAGGTGATGCTTGTAGCCATTTCAGACCTAAATGTATTGTCTCACCACAATAACCTCGCTTGGCTGTTGATGGTACCACCAAAAGCGACGGCTCAAAATACCGCAGCAAATTGCTGACGAGCACTAATTCAAACATTGTGCTCTTCTTGTTGTTCCCAATCTCTACGAGGGCTGGCTTTCGTCCCCTCCCTTCTCAGGTTTCATCTTCTTTCCTCTAGCAGCCTTCTTTATTTGAATAATTGAATTATCTTCCTTTCATTTTCTTTAACAGCTTTCATTGTTTTTTGCATCTCCCTATTCCTAGTTTTTTCGCTTCATTTTCCTGAAAAGTCCGTTTCTCCCGGTGTTGAAGTGTGGTCTCAAAGAATAGAGTGCCCTCACCAGAAAGCTCTCAGCATCCTAATCTTGATACATCATTGGCATCATTGCATCTCCATCACTGTTCATTTTATGTGATCAAATCTCAGAGTTTGATACCATTTGAATCACCATCATCAGCGCCATCCTCACAATTGTAAAAATAGCAAAACAATAGTCATCAAAGGCAACAGCATGTTGGCAGCATATATCATCTACAGAACAGCTGTTTACCATGCAGCGTTGTGCTTTCGAGCCACCCAGCTGTGTGGTGTGGCTTTGTTCAATCCATGACCAACATTCACACGTGCTTTCTGCACCAGGATTCACCAGTCAGTGCATCAAAATATTGGATCTACCTGAGTCACAAAGTGTGGCTTCTGTTGTAACATGCCGAACATGACTCAGAACGCCAGAGCCTGTTGATTTCTATTCCCTCCCCACTGCCAACGTTTGGTTGTGTTTTCTGATATATAGAAAGGATTGTGGCAGGCAGTTTCTGGAGGACGTTTTGCCGTAGGGTTCCTGGAAGGTACCAGTGTTCGGAACAGGTTTCGGGGGCTACCAGAGGAGGTTGTTTTGTTGTTTGGTTCTAGATTCTAGAAGAGCTTCCGGAAATGGTTCCACAGGTTCCCGAGCAAGGTTACAAGGGTGAACCCGGAGCTAGTTCCAAAGGGAGGCTCGAAAACATGTCATATCCAAGACATGATGTGGTGTGTGGTGAGTTGTGAAGTGGTGAGTAGGAAGTTTCTCATCTAGACATATTTCAGCGCAGCCCAAGCATGTAATAAGTCGCGCACCCAACACCAAGATATTTCAGACCAGGGAAAAGCATCGTTCTTTTGGGGTAGAACACATTGTCCTGCACAAGTGATGTCGGAGTGTTCAACATAATGTTTAATGCGATTTGGAAGCTGACGGTGTTTCCTAGAGACACTGCTCATAAATGCGAGCAACACGCTACACTTGGGGAACTAAGATAAGATTGTCAATTATATTGTACACATATGAACAGCAGGCTGCCTTTTGCAGTCCATAGTTGAGCAAGCAGCAAACCCGTGTCACGGTCAGTGCCCGCCGTTGCATTCTGTCGAACATTCTTTTGAATGGCTGGTGATTCTGAATCCAGTTGCAGCACATAGGTGGCACACGAGCTAAATTAGCAAGTGATTCTGTTTCAACTTGCACCCTGAATCCTGAAACTCTGTTTACAAACCTAACAGCCAACCCGTTGAGTGATGTAATTGCACAGGCGGATTCTTGCCGGTGCTGGGATTGCTATGTCGTTTCAAATTTAGATGCCATGATCGAAACTTTTTGGCTGTGCATGACAGCAGGCTGGCCCCATACTACCGCCTACCTGCAAACTTTGTCACAGCCCCAGTGGTTGTTGGAGTCCAATCAAGCATTTTTTGTCCACATTCTTGCCGCTGTTACAACCTTGCTGCCAGGTGGAGCTTGTTTTCGATGAGCCGACACAGATCTCTGCCATCAAGTTCTGGAACTACTCCAGGTCAACGAACTCAGTGCGACTCCGTATGTAGTGACAATGTTGTTCATATTGCGTGACCAGGACACCTGGTAGAGGAGTGCGAGACCTTGAAATCTATGCAACTTGCCTAACTTGCCTCGCAAGAGTTGAGACAGGCAAAAGCCATGCAATCTAATGCACTGAATCCAACGCCGGTGTTCCACCTTAGGTGGATGACTTGCTCGTTTATCAAGGAATCTTGCGCCAGGCCAGGCTTTTGTGCAAAAGCTTCATGACTCTGTAGAACTCACTGAGTCCCAAATGGCTTTGAGCAAACCAAGGCATCTGGTCAAGATGGAGGCAGGTTTGATCCAAAACTTTTGATCTGAAGGCTAATTCTCTCCAATTGGATCCACTTGGGGCTTGACGGATTCATAGCACTGGCTTGCTAGTTGCTTAAATTAGAGCCTGCAAAGTCAAATCAAGTATTTTAAGTGAAGCCTTGCTCTTCATACTTCTGCAGGTGAAGCTGTTCTCTTCACCGACAACCCTTTGATCCGAGAGAGGCTCATTGCATGCTGCTTTGGTGCGGGGGATTGGTGTCAGGAGCCACACAGATAGTTTGATAGAAAAGGGAGACGGGTCATGTGCAAAATGTGGTTGAGTGAAGTCAGTTTGGAAGAAAGAAGGCAAAATACATCTGCAAATACGTGTCAGCCACCCTTCCTTTTCAAGCAGGGAGCGCTCCCTCGTTTACAAGCCGAGTGGGGAAGCCTTTGGAGCACTTTTCGCTGTTGAGAACCAGCATTGAGTCGAACATTCTAGCATATTTCAACTTAGGTCCAGAAGAATTGATTGCGTTCTTTGACGAGAGCTGGGAACTCAAGAGTTGGTTAGTTGCTTTGGAATGGGCTTCAAGTCACGTGAAGTCTTGATCTTCAGGTGGGCAGTTGGATCAGCACTCTGGCAGCTGCACAGGCAATGGTGACGAAATGCGCATGGCATTTGGAACTAAATATTGCTTAAGAATGTTTAAAATATGAAATATGTTGGTTTGACACTGAGAGTCAATGTCAAGTCTTCTATGCACTGTTGCGTCTTGATTCACCAACTCCGCTCGAATCCCTGCAGACGCCTCACCATCTGAGCGCCCGATGACGGCATTGACTGCGACTGCATGACCGCGCAACGCAAAGCATTTGTTATAAAAGCCAGCCACTAGCCTAGGCTGAAGTTGCTTTCTGCGAACGAAGTGAGTTGTCTAGGGGGTAGGGGAGAGCGGGCAAAGTGGGTGTAAACCCCGGAAACTTGCTGGTGTATTTACTTTTCCGGAAGGATTTTTTGGCAAGTTGGGGATGCCTTCCTTATTAGGTGTCTGTTTTTGCAGAAAAAGGAGAAAACAAAGGACGGTTGTTTTGGACCTCTTTAATAAGACCAGGAAAAATTAAGACCCCTTTAAGCCTTCCTTGTTTGCAACAACCCATACTTTTCCGCTTCCGCTTGACATTAGAAAGGCGTTCCACCAAGTTGGGAATGCCATTTCCCAAATACATGAACTTGTGGCGATCTTGTTTGCTGTACAAGGGGTCTCTGGCGAATCGTTGCCTAAGCTGGCCTTAGTGAAACAATGTTGAATGGAGCGCCTCACCAGTGCAAAAACATTTGTACGACAAGAAGGTGCTTGGGTCACGCTGCAGTCTTCAGCTGATTTCATTGCTAAAGCACAAGATCGTATGAAAACATGGCAACCTTGGCTTGCCAATGGCAGTCTGATCACATTTGCAGATGCGGCGGCTGATCTCATTCTGGTCATCATCAATGGCCAAGAATGCATTTTTGCCATTGCACTTGAACTTGAAAAGCAACATGCGCCACTACTTTGCTTTCTCAATGAAGGCATTAAGATTCCAGACTTTGCAATGTGGCAGATTGTGAAGACAGGAGACTTCCGCATTTTCTTCCATGATAAGCATTTGTTTTGTGCCCAAGATCACTCAAGATGAGTCAAGTGAACTGCAAGATCCAGTTGTCTCACCTACACAACTGTGGGACGGTACGGGCAATGACCTTGAAATGGATTGTATTGAAGCGTTGTGCTTCCTTCATGCAGCTGAATATGTTTGTCAACAACCGGTTGGCAGACTCCTGAACAAAGTCCTATTCCTTCAGGCGGATCAGGATGTTTGCACCATCAAGTCTAAACATATTTCACGATAAACCTCTTCTACATTCCACGCTCCCGGGCCATCCGTCATCCACTTTGTTCTTTTCTGACATCGTCAGTCTGACATTATTCGAGCTTCCACGTTGACCCATTCAAGGCAAAAGGCTTGAGGGTTGAACATCGGCTGATTTGCACATCGAAGGAAAGCAAGATTCAACCCTTTCTCCGAGTGCTTTAGATTTCCCTTAGACCTGTTTACTCCGAGGGTCAAAAACTGCAATGGCTCAAATTAAATCTCTGTTTGTCTTTGCATCAGTGGTCACAAGAAAGACTGAGGGAACAGGTTTCATTACTGTATATAATTCTTCACCTCTCCGCCGCATTGAGTGTGGGCAGTGGCCTCTTCATAGATAGTTTAGTGGCCCATCCAAAAGCAGAGGGCCTTCATGTACATAGCTGACATTGGCAAAGAGCAGTGATGTTGTGCAAGAAACGGGGGCCCTTTGTTGAAGGTTGAATTATTCTGAAGACCATACTGGACAGCACCATACTGCCATGCGGCATTTGACTCTTCCTTCAGCTGGCTCGTAGCAGTGTTGGCAAGCCGTTTGGGGGCCTTTGGGCAATGACAAGTGAATTGCTGCAGGCCGTGACAGTTCTGTTTCTCAAGCACTCATTTGTGCTGCAGCGTTGAGGATGTGCGAAGGCCATCGGACAATGACCTGGGTGTTCTGGCTGAGAGACCATGCGAATTGCACCGCCGCAGCATCTATCCTATGATTGAACAAAACCCTCGACTCAGGTGCTCGCTGCCTATGATTTGCCAAACTGGCCATGGGGTGTGGCTGTGTTTCGCAACACCAGGCCGCTCAGATATGATCAGACCTTTTTTCTTGTCCACTTATCGAGTCTGCTCGAGTCTGAGAGTAAAGGTGGGCATCCCTGGTGGTGGTCCTCGCCAGTTCCTCTACACAGCGACGGACAAGGACCCCGATGGACCCCGGACACTTTTTCAACTGTGCGACAGTGGACAATAGAATATACTAGAATGCCAGTTTGTGGTGAAAAATGGATGCCACTTGTGAGGAGTTTGTACGATCCCTGGAGAAGGAGGAGCTCAAGGCAGGTTCAGAGAATATATATGGGCTTGTCTTTTTTTAAGGTGTCCAGTTTATGTAGGACTGGGATGTTCGACTTAGGCGAAGCATACCCCGAAGCATACCCTGAAGCATACCCTCTGGAAATGCTACTACTTTAGTCTTCACACTGCGCGAAGCATACCCCGAAGCATACCTCCGAAGCACACCCCATAGTCAAACATCCCGGCCGGGGAACCTTAAAACAATACAAACCCATATATATATATATATATAATATATAGTTGCCTGCAACAATTGTCTCAAGTGTGTTTGTTTCTTTTCCATTTTTGAAGCACTGCCTTCACATGCTTGATTATTGACATCCACAGGTACTTATTTGATGGTATTTGCATGTATTTGCCAACATATTTCCTGCTTCGTTGTTTGAATGTTGAAAGGACAAAAAGCTGCTGCTGATGTACTTTCGGTTGGACAACGAGGTGCCTCGCATTCTGCGTCTCAGCTGTGCTGAATGGCATGCGGTTTCAGGGGCACTTCGTTGTGACCGATGGATTCAGAGACTTAGTCCGGAGAAAGGGAGTGCCAGACAGGTCTGAGGCCAAGCTGACATGAAATTGGCAGGATTACCAACACGGTGCCATCTTGCTTCATTCATACAATAATTGGCCTATGGCCTAGTTGGCAGACTGAAGGTATCGTTGGCGAGCCTGGAGAGCACTTACAGGCTAGTGTGCCCACCGTTTCTGAATGGGTATCAAGAGCATACAAAGAGGATACATAGGATACGTTGGATGCATCCTCTTCCGGATTTCATGCCGACTTGTCAGGATGGAGTGCCTTGTCCAAGCCAGGCTGGTACGAGAGGACGGCATGCAGCATAATTTTGCCGCAAATGTTTTTGCTGCGTTGCTGGCTTTGGCCCCTCCCTAGTCAACGGTTCTCACACTTGTTGGGTAACCCAAGCATTTGTCAGTGGGGTCGCAAACGTCAAGCCCTCGATAGCTGCATCATGCCAGCACGAACTCATGTGGGCTAAAGCCTCGGCTAGTTGGATAATTTCAGTTTCGGAGCACGATTCGATTGGGGTGCTCGTGAATGCTGGTGGCGTGACATTGGTTTGCACCAAGCCTGTTCTCTCTCGCCGTGAGCGGTCCCAGACCTTTGAATCTGACAGGAAGAAGGCTTCCACACTTAGGAGCACCATTAACCTAGGACCTAGAAGCAATGGCCTCCAACCTTACTAAATTGAAACACCATTACGCAAGGCGCTGTTGTGCTTTGGCATTGCAGCACATCTCCGGGCACGCAAGTACTCTGCGCTTTTCTGCATGAGAACTGGTGTTTGGGAAACTCTGTGCTTTTGAATCTTATTGCTGATGAACGTAGTACCTTAGCCAAGCAGCTCTAGCTTTCCCTCACATGGTCGCCTGGAATACTGGTTGGTGGTTGGTGGTGGTGTGGTGGTGGTGCCAGGGCGTACATCCGACCCCTTGGAGAGCACCAAGTACCACGCCTGCCACGCAAATCACACCGGCAGAGCGGCGGCGACCCAGTTGGTGGCTGGTGGTGTTTGGTTGGTGGTTGGTGGTTGGTGGTTGGCGGTGGCTGGTCGGTTGTTGGTTGGTGGTTGGTGGTTGGTTGGTTGGTGGTTGGTACTGGTCTTTCGAATTCCATGCAGTCCCGGAGTCCCGATTTGAACTCAGTTTTGAGCACATGGTGAGTTTGCCTCTTGGCTTTTCAGAACCGTGGCGCAGATGATAGTTTTTTGGTGTCTTACTTTGTCAGCTCCTTTGGTAGTACTCTATCGGACCCCGCGCCGAATCCGCAAGAGAAGATTTTCAATTCGAGGTCGACGCGAGCGACATTGGTGTCCAGTGTTCAGATAGTGAGTGTCAGACTGATATGCATGCTATGGCCCTGTGGACAGATTGTCTTCCGACAGCTGAGCAGACATGTCCGACATGACCAAATCTTGAAGAATTCTCTGGCTTGTGCTTTTTCTTTTCGAGCTCAGGCACATCAGGTGACATATTCTAAACGAGCTTGTCAGCCTAGCTTGGGAGTAGCAACTGCCTCGCCGGTTTGTTTGTCCTTGCTTAAAACATGCCAGTCCTTTTCTCCAGAATACAGATGGTACGATAAACCTGGACGATCGTTTTGTGCGTTGAGCAGTGTACATCTCTTCAGGGAGTTGTTTGTCTCAAGTTCTCGTGCGACTTGCCCCAAATGGGAGCTCATTGCTTCCCCCTTGCAGTCGTCATTTCCAAGTCCAGATACCACCCTTTTTGGTTCACCTTGTTCAAGATTTCGGAGCAGTTCCTACATGGTTGCTCGATTTGCAGGCCAAGACATGCCGGATTGGTGAAGGCTTGTCCTGGACCCCATACTGATATGGTTTCTCTCGACAATTCATGTGGTTAGGGACCTTCAACCCCAACTGTTCAACAAGGAAGATGTCATTCAGGAGCGGGGGAGGGGTATTTGGTGCGCCGCTGAGACTTCTGCAACAAGGTCAGCTGCCAAGCGCACTAAGAGTCGTTTGCTCAAAGCAAGCATGCGCCTGTATTCGGGTCCCTGCGTTGAACAGCAACAAAGGAGCACTGAATTTCGAGGTAAAGCCGGTGGTGTTGCAGTGATCACGACGTACACTGCCCGCCCATACCAGTGGCCCAGTCCTGACTACTTGTATTCCTCTACCCGTTTTTTTGATGTGGTTGTCACAACACCTGGGTTCGGCCCAATGCTAATTATTGTTATCTATGGTGTAGCTCACCCGCCATTTGACTTGACCCACCAATTGCTGGCCCGCGCGGCCGAACGTGGACGAAAATTCACAGGGCCCGCAGTTATCTGTGGTGACTTGAACTTGCCGCTGTCACATTGCCCAACCTGGAATGAGCTAGAACTTGCAGGTTGGAAAGATTGCGCAAAGGTGGACTCATATCTGTTTATTCGGATGATGCAACCAACATCCCGGCATGGGCATCGTCACGCCTTCATATTGGCAAATTCTGTGTCTTGTAGAACGGCTGAACATGCCGAGTTTGACGCTCACCCTCTTTTGGCGTCCTGTTTTCAGGTTCCAAAACTGGCACAAAGTAGAGTTCAGTGCGTTCTTCCTCGACCATTTGACCAACAATTTTTCGTTTCTGAAGTTTTGCCACGCGCTAGCAGAAAAGCCTGTGAAGCAATACAGGACAAATTCTGTGACGCGCTCCGAAATTGAAAAACGACGCAAGCGTCACACCTTTTTGCAGAAGCAGTGGAGAAGTCGTGGGCTGATTCAGTAGTTGATGCTGCAGGTTCTCCGTGCAGGGTCAATTCGGGAGGCGTCGAAAAGACCAATTCCAGAAAAGATGGCCGACTGTCCCGTGTGTTAAGCCAGGTCGGGCCGAAGAATTTTGTCCTCTTGAATCTCAAGTTCAAAACGGGCTTCGTGCCCACATCAAAAAGGTTCGAAGATTGAAATCACTGGTTGCGCAGGTTTCAGCTTGTCATGCAAGACAGGAAAACCCATCGGAGGCCTGTCAAGAACTTTGGACTGCTATTCTTAAAGCTTCAGGGTTCACCAAAAGCTTCGGTTTTTGGATTCATGAGCACTGCCAGATGTTTGTCCCGCTCTGTTGCCCCCACTCAGAATTCCTGCAAATCGTGCTATCTGCAGGATTGTGTTGGGATGAATGTGCGACCCATCGGCGTGTTTCTTATTTAATGACAAGAAACCACGGGAAGGTGGCCTGCTGCTCAATAAAGGAGCCCGACGCTCCACCGCTTTCGTCAGTTTTGTGGGGATATTTGCGCGCCTGCCCAACGAGTAAAATTGCCCAAACAGGGTTTGTCCATTCTACCTTTGCAGACGTCACCAGTCCCTTTTCAAGCTAACAGATCGATCCTATTTCAAGGGCAGACTGCAACAGTGATCAAACAGAATCATAACCTTTTGTATCTTGATACCCCTGTCAAGCTTACAGGTGACCACTATGTTGTTGAACAAAAGTGCATTTCAACTGATGTTGAGATTACGCGCGAACACCTTCAAGAGACATGGAGCAGTATGTGGAATGGCATGCCTACTCCTATCCCTGAGGGGTATTGGGATGAAGCTGCCGAATTTGTTACTTCTATCCAAGATTGCCCTACTTGTAATTTCCAACCTTTTACTCAGCAAAGTTGGGCTGACTGCCTGCGGGGAGCCAAGCCTTCCGCTAGAGGTTCTTGTGGCTTCACCCATTTTGAGACTATCCTTATACAAGGGCATTGTTTGCAACTGCTTTTCAAACTTCACAATGCCATTGAGCATGATGGTTTGGATTGGCCAGATGGTTGGGTAATAGGAACGGTTTCGGTTCTCTCCAAAGGATTCGAACCACGGTCACCACTCGATATCCGGCCAATTTCGGTAGTGGCCCGGCTCCCACCTTGCCAACTTAATGCCAGCGCAAATTGCTGCCACCTCGGCTGGGGTCTCTGCAGACTTGTTGTCAGGGTATGTTGCTTTTCACATTGAACTAGCAAACCATGATGAAGCACAGCTCCTTGGCACAGTTGCGGATATAGTCAAATGTTACAACTGTATTCCCTGAAAACCTGTTTGCTTGATTTGGAACAAGATTGGTGTCCCACCTTTTCTCACGCAAGCACTGTTCAGATTTCTTAGACAAATGACACGCTTTTTTGAGATAGGACGGTCGTGTGGGCCTGCCATAAGAGCGTCCTGTGGGATTGCAGAAGGATGTGCATTGTCGGTTGCTATCGTGAATTCTTTGGCATTTCTCTTTGGCAAAGTTACGGTCAATGCGGCGCCTATGGTCAATCCCATAGCTTTCGCTGACAATTGGTCCCTCATTTCAAAATCAGTCTCGCAATTGCGCCCTGCGTGGGATACTCTTATGAATTTGCTTTCCGCGCTGAAAATGCAGATTTCGCCAACGAAAAGTTGGGTTTGGGCATCTGACACGAAGGTGAAGGCCCAGCTGAAATGTTGGCCTAAAAATGCCCAGAACTTCTGGGCAAAGAATGGCCGTGACTGCAGGCTTTGGTACTTTTGCATACGGAACAGAAATTCAACCAGTTTGTCCTTCAAAATGGAAGACTCTCCGAACAAAAGTGATTAGAGCTTCCCAAAGTGTGGCCAGTCCCGTGGATTGCAATGCTAGGCCAGCGTGCCTCGCTGGATCCCCAACTCAGACATCTATCTCGAATGATGATTTTTTGGAGGCTTTTCAAGGTTTTCCCAGAGTGCAAAGATGGTTTCAATAGACTACTAGCCAGCTACCTGCAAAACAGGACCAGTATTTGCTTTCCGTCATTCTTGCATAGCAGCCCATTGGGAACCGATGCAGGATATTGTCCTTCGTCGTCAGAATAGTTCCTCGTGCAAACTGGTTGCTTTGTTCAAAAAAGTGGTTGCATTTTTGCACTAGGAAAGCATAGTCTTTCACAAATGCCCAGAATTGTTTGCGCCGTAAAGATTTCGACCTGGCTCAAATTGACGAGCGATTGGTTCGAAAACTCTTGGGAAAGCGTAGCGAAACTGAGCGCAGTACCTTGCAAGCCTACTACACAGGGGCTGCCTTCACACATGACTTTGTGCCCAAACACAATAACCAGTGTATTCCCCTGTGTCCTCTCTGCCAGCTAGACAATGATTCTCGTAGCATCGAATGTTTAAGTGCCCAGCCTTGAGCGAAGTGCGGGCAAGGCGCAAGGATTTGCTAACATGGCTTCCCAAAAGTAATGAAGCAACTCAGCAACTAGCGTTGTTCCCTGATTACAATGACGCCTTGCGCATAAAGGTGGCTTTTGAACTTCCTTGGGAACTCGGTTCTTTCAGACCAACGGCCGGAACAAGTTATTTGTTTCTAGATGGCTCCGCCAGGTTCCAAAGGTCCATGGAGCATTGTTTGGCAGTTTCTGCAGTGGTTGAGTCTGAATTTATGGTAAATAAGACAAGAACAGTTCATTCTCAGTTGTTGCCGGGATTGCGTCACAATTCTTGTAGGGCAGGAGTCTTTGCAGTTTTACTTGCACTTTGTCACACAGCAACCCCGCACCTTTTTTCGGATTGCCAGTCGGTGGTGGATACTTTTGGAACTTTTTTGCAGGCTTGGTATTTCGATACCGATCCACGGTGCCCTGAAGATAGTGACTTGTGGTCGCAGATTTGGCAACAACTTCTATCTCGTCCAAAGCACGAGGTTGTGGCCATAAGTATCACTAAGGTTCCTGCTCATGTTTCTCCAGACGTTTGGCCTTTGAGCTTTCCCCTTTAGAACATTGGCATGCATTTGCCAATGATCAAGCAGATAGGTCCGCAAAGCAGGCTTTGAAGAAGTCCAATGTTTATGCAACGTTAGAAAAAAATCTTTTGACCGATTCCAACAGACATGATTCGGGCTAGGAATCTAGGAGACTTTGTTCTTGATTTGGCTAGGTCTTTAACAAAACAAGAAGGTCTACTTGAACCAGGTTCCTGTGTCCCAGTGAAATGGGCACCTAGAGACCTTTTCTTTGTGCGACTGTGCCTAGAATTGATGTGCCATGTCCTTGTGGAACAACTTTTCTGAAAAGAGTGCTCCGTTGGGCCACTGCACTGATGTGGCCTGTCAATGGTTGACTGAGCTTACCCTGAGAACATCTCGTGCCCTGAGCTGTACATTGATTTTGCAATTAGTGCTGGGACTGTTGCCCCAGCCAATGTGAATCAATGCTCTGGCCCAGGACACAAAGCTATACACGCATTGCCTGATGAAAATTTCTCGGCGCAGGTTGCCTCCGCAACCTTGGCGCAACAATCCAGAGTGTGGATCCGGTTTCTCAAATGGGTTCCAGTTTTGTCAAACATTGCAAGCATTTGGGTCCGTTAGGCTATAGCTTGTGATTGCCTGGAGTGGATAGGCGCCCATTGTTGGTTGCTTCCGATAGACCTTTCGAAGTCGTACAGACACTCTTCAGGGCGCCGTCTCACAGGCGTACTTTGGATTTCTCCTTTTCGCCCCGGAACTTCTTTTCATCGCCTGTTGTCAGTGTGTAATTTCTTGTTGACGGAACGCACCGTGTTTTCGCACACGGATAATTCTATGCGTCCAGGTACAAATTTGTTTGCTGCAAGCCAGACGTAATATGGTGTTTTGTGAGTGCTTTCCTCTTCCGAAGAGCGCAGAGCCTATGGAATGCTTGATGTTTTTGTCCGCATCACATCATGGTTCTCATGTCTTCGACAGGTGAACTGTGATGCTCTTCTTTTTCTTGGAAAATAGGAAAGGCCCACGTTCTTTCCGATGCGACAGTGCTTCGTGATGGCCTCTTGGCTCTTGCTTGTTGGGGCTCGGAAGACCCCTAGTGCTGTGCCTTTTCGTAGTTTTGTTTTCTTTAGTGGTTCATTCACGCCTACGCTGGGAATAGCCACAGCTTCTGTCGAAGCACTACAGCGGAAATGCGGAAAAGAGGGTTGTTGGTTGGTAGTTGGTGGTGGTTGGTGGGTTTTGGTAGTTGGTTGGTAGTTGGTTGGTGGTTGGTTGGTTGGTGGTTGGTGGGGGTTGGTTGGTTGGTTGGTTGGTTGGTTGGTTGGTGGTTGGTTGTTTGTGTTTGTTTGTTTGTTTGTTTGTTGGTTGGTTGGTTGGTTGGTTGGTTGGTTGGTGGTGGGTTGGTGGTTGGTGCTTGGTGGGTTGGTTGTTGGTTGCTTGTTGGTTGGGCGGGAGGGGGAGAGGAGAGCGGATACAGCACCAAAACAAAAAACACCACACGTCAATGTGGGGAACAACATGCTTGTCTCGGTGTGATGTGCTTCCCCATTTCGAATTTGTTCCAACATGTATCATGTATCCACCATGTATGTTGTCAAGGAGTCTGCAGGACGGAAGGATGGAAACAAACCTGCAAGGAAGAAGGAAAGCAAGGAAGCAAGGGAACAAGACAAAAACCTCTCTGTTTTTTGGTTTCTAATAGCAATGGCCTCCAATCTACTAGCGATGGCATTTTACTTGGAGAAGGGCTCCCCCGGCACAGGTGGCCGGGAAAGGGCTGAGTGTCAAAGACGGAAAGCGGACCAAAAGAGACATGCAGCGGGCTCACAACACGAAGAGGAGCATGAAGTGTCACAAGTAAGAAGCACGAACCAGGCGCGCCAAACGATTGCAAGCCTTGAGCTTGTTCTGTTGGGTATTCCAAGTGGAGTCCGGACAAGACCAGGTAAAGCGACATGCCAACTGGTCAGGATTCACATCAACACGCGGCCACCAGTTGTAGGCAGTGGGACGAATACGTTTTTGAAACGCATGGTGGATGACTTCTGCAACCCTAGCTTGCTCTGGAAAGCAGGGTCTATGAAACCAGCCAAAAACACAAGATCCTGCGCACTGTCGGTAGAGAGAACAAATCCGAGCACGACTGACATGCGCAGGCAACAAGGGGCTACCGCTCAAAGAAATTGTTTGACCCAGCAAAGTGCGAGGCACAATCATTCCAAGAGTAGCCAAAGGGAATGGCCTCGGCAGGAGAACGAGAAACGGCCTGTGAATAGGAATGTAGCACTTAGCATAGAGCCTGAAACTCAAGACCATATCCATCCAAGAAAGGCCCACTTTAACATGTTCCTGATGGTTATCAGCTTGCGGCCACCGAAAGGCACTGTATAAGCCACTCAAGAACACAATCAAGCAAAACAGTCCCCCAATAGGAGTGGTCAAAGAAGGCAGAGGCGCGAGCAACCCCAAGGTGAAAAACCCAGGGATCCACGATCACCCAATTGGCCATAGTTGCCGAAAAATCCCAAGCTCGGCGCATGTGGTGTGGTTCCTGTGGATTCAAAAAGGCCGGGACAAGATGATAACAAAGCAGATCAGGCAACGAGCAAAGATTATCATGACCCTTATATAATTTTAACCAGCTGATTAGATCCACAGTTGGTAAGGTTATGAATGCGCTGACAAAGAGCAGGTTGCGGGTGCTTATGAAGCTGTGTACCTTGAACAAGCAGGGCATTCTGGAAGGTCGAAATTGCACTGGCCGAGTCTGCATGGACGATAGCATGGCCTCCAACCTAAGAGCAAACTATACTAGACTAAACCTTTCTTCCTTTTCTTTACTTGTGCTTCCAGGATTCCAACACATATTCCAACCACCTGGTATGAGATTTTTATAACTGGATATAACCATTGCCTGAGTAGGCCAAGAATCCTGCTCAATGTTCAACACCAAACTGAGCTCCCCAATAAACAGCACACAGAACCAAGCATTTTTCAAAATATCAAAGCACGCAGTGCAGTTCAAACCCAAAAGAAAAGGCCTGACTGAGTTGCGCCATGCCAACCCAAGTAACAACAGCCAAGCTGACTGCACCTGCCGCCCAGATAGCTCTGGCTTGGCTTAGCTCGTCTGTTTTTCCTTGGCCAGCTCATAGCTCGGCTTTGGCTGAAAAAGCGTGAGATGAGTGGTTGAAAGGCGCTTTGCCTCCGAAAGCAAACGAGCGCATTTTGACAAGTCGTGTTTACATATACTTGGACCCCCACATGAATGGCCGGGTGTTAAGGCGCTCGAGCTTTGCTTGGCTGCTTTTGGTTGGTTTGCCTTGAACATGGATTCGACTTTCAGGATTGAGTCAGCAACGGTGAAGACCAGCCAGAATGGATCCTGGCCTCACCAAACCTTGCAAATGGCAACAATGTTGAACAGAATATCACGAAATATGCCGAAACAATCAAAGTCCGAAGCCGTCTTTGAACTTCGGGGATGTCATCGGATGTCCAGCCTCTGTTGATCCGTGTTTTTGTGACATTTTGGATTGTGCGGTGCACTTGTGAGTTCAGATTTTGTAGCATGACCTCCTTTAGGACAATGCGGAAAACTCCAGATGGCAAAACTGTCGAAGCAATCGACAAAGACCTCGACAGGAGACCAAATGGAAGTTACCTTGTGCGTATTAACGATAAACAATGCTTTCTTGAATTTGAAGAACATAATACACGTATATCTATATGTACATATTAAATTACATACAATTGTTGAAACGGCAGGAGCGCATGTCACCATATCCGCAGGGACCGTTGGCTTGGAGAAAAGAACGTGCCCGCGCGCGGAACGGATAGGAGTCCGTTACCTTTGTCAATTGACATTGGTAGCGGAGCTCTGGTCAAAACGACTGGAGCTCCACGTAGGATCGTAGAGTTGTAGCAGGAGCGCATGGCCGGTGCCTCTTCGTCATTCTCCCAGGACGGGGGATACAGAGTGTTTGATGGTGAAAGTGAGGACTCGAAGGAGTACAAACGCTGGAAAAATGGGTGACAAACAAGCTGTTGACAATTTCAGACAAGGTTCCCTCCAAGGCTAGGGGTGCCTACATCTACACATTGCTGCAAGGGAAAGCATTGGAATGTGTCGAGCACCTCGATCCGTCGGAATATCAAAAAGATGGAGGCGATCAAGTTCTGTTTACATTGTTAGACCGCCGTTTCCCTGCCAAAGAGGCCTCAGACGAAATGAGTGAGATCATGACTGAGGTCTTCTTCTTGCGTGCTGTTGAAGGCGAATCTCTCAAGACCTGGGTCTCCCGGGCATCAGAGCTGTTCGATCGTTGTCATCGGAAGACAAACGTGTCCTTTCCGGAGGAAGCTCGGGGATGGATCATTCTCCATCGCTCAGGCCTGAATGACGAGCAGAAGGCTGTTTGCTTGGCAAGGTCTCTGGGTGTGCTCATACGTGAAGAGATTGCAAGAGCTATGAGGTCTTGCTGCCCAGAGTTCGTGACGCCGCGTCGAAAGTCTTATGCTGCTGGCTTGGTGGAGAACGAGATTCCCGATGTTGCTTGGGATGAGGGCCAGGAGACGATCCCATGGTCGAAGTTGAGCAGTTTTTGACAGAGCATCAACAGGCCTATGATGATGAGGCCGAATTAGAACAAGAAGAAGCCTTTGAAGAAGCTGAAGTGGCTGAAGCTCTGGCAGTGACTTGGCGTGACAAGCGAAAAGAACTCAATCGCTTGCAGAAAGAACGGAAGTTTCGTCAAGCAGGTGAAGTTCGTCGTAGCTTCCAGGTTGAGGCGTCGGAGTTGAAAAAGCGAACCAAGTGTCACCGCTGCCAACAGGTAGGACATTGGGCTCGTGAGTGTCATCTTCCACCGCCTGCCAAAGGCAAAGGCAAAGGCAAGAGTAAACAACCGCCCACTGGTGCAGCGTCCGTTGAGCGTGTTGTACAACCTGTTGAGCATGTGTCGGAATTTTTCATGGCTCCGGTGACTAGCGTGTGGCCTACATTGCAACGCCTGCGTGAACAACGTGGGTTGAATGTTGATGTTGTTGAGCCATCTCTCACCTTTGACCATCAGGGTATGGTCAAGGAGTTGATCTTGGTGAGCTCCCCGGGCTACGGAGTTTTGGACTCCGGTTGTGGCCGCTCCATCATTGGTGAGCGTACATTGCAGTCATTCGAACAGCTGTGGAAAGAGCGTCAACAGCCAGTGCCACCTCGGTTGTCAGAAAAGAACTTGTTCAAATATGGTAATGGTGAGCAAGAAGTGTCACAGTGGGTTGTACAGGTTCCAGTGAAGCTTGGGGGCCGCTCTGGCTCGATTCGTGCCGCCGTGGTGCGTGGAGACGCACCGTTGTTGATTTCTCGAGCAGCACTGCAGAAGCTGCAGGCCGTGATTGATTTTCCGATAGCAGCATGAAAGTGTTTCCTGAGCAAATCAAGATCCCCCTAAGCACAAATGAAGCCGGCCAATATGTCGTTCGTTTGCTGGACGACGATTCCGTGGCTCAAACGACAGCAACCGACTTTCAGGAAGTCATGCTGGCTGACGAACAGGTTCAGCCGACTCCGAATCCCGAGGTCGTTGATGAGCCACCCACATCATCCCCGGCAGGAGAGGTGCCTGACTCCGGATCGTCGACCGTACATGCACCAGCTGTGGATGAGCATTTGAGTCCACAGACACACACCGGCCGCTCGGAACCGCTTCAAGTGTGGTGTCGAGATGATTCGTTTGTCGTGCAAGTACCTAAGATCGGTAAACAGGGACCATTTTGGAACACGGTAATTTGTAGAAGAGTAATTGACAGAGACACGGGTACAGTTCTTTTGGATGAGCCCATACTCCCACAGAAAGGTAAAGGACATTATAGCCGCACCATTCCTCCTCATGTTTTGCATATTCGTACTGAGTTCACGTTCCGGCCTGAGGAAAGCCACTCATGCACCTTCTAGCCGCTTGCAGGGGAAACGTTTCATGGTTGCGGAAGTGTTCAACCCACCAAGATTTGCACCTTTTGTTGAAGAAGCTGGGGGAATCTGTCGATCGTATGACATCAAGGGACACCAAAGAATATGTGTCGGATTTTCTGCAAAATCATCCCCCTGATTTGCTGGTGGTCTCCCCTCCTTGCACACATGAAGGTGGTTGGTTTCATCTCAATGCTAGTAAGCTGCCCATGAAGGTCCGTCTTGAACTCATTCGAACCAGCCGTGGGTTCGTGAAATTTGCCGTGAGTCTCATGCGGACGCAACTGCAGCATGGTGGACAAGTTCTGCTGGAACATCCGCTAGGCTCTAAGATATGGAAGTACCCTGAAGTGCAAGCACTGTTGAAAGATTTTCCTGAATGCAAGCTCATCAAATGTCACATGTGTCGATTCGGTCTGAGGGTTCCAGGTGATCAGAGACTCATTCGTAAAGCTACTCGGCTGTTGGTGTCAGGGGAAGATGCCTGTCACCAGTGCCATTTGCCTGTCGCCGGATCGCACCCGGCTGTTGGAAGAGTGAGCACCTTTGCAGGTCAGTACACGCCTTCATTTTCGCAAGCTGTGTTGCAGACCGTGCCATCCTATAGTCAGGCAATGGCTGAACAGCGAGTGCACTGTGAACCTTTCACGTCACGAGATGTTCAAGAGGCGTTGATGGTTAAGGCTGACCTAAATCAAGGTTCTGAATCAGACATCATGAAGGTCATTGACAAAGTCCATAGGAACCTAGGACATCCGCCCAGTGAAGATCTCGTCAGAATCCTTCGTCATGCACATGCATCCGATCTTGCCGTTAGCCTTGCTCGTAAGCACTCATGTGAGTTGTGCAAGGCCCAACAGCGACCACACGTGCCTCTTCCATCGAAGGCAAATCGACCATCAAGCTTTAATCATGTCATAGGAATCGATGTGAAGCACTTACCCGGGTGGAAACCAAACCAGAAGATTCGTGCCCTGAACATAATTTGCCATGGTAGTTGTTATCAACTCATGATTCCGTTTTTCGAACGTGAAACGTCCGATGTGCTGCAGAAGCTGTTGGCCAACTACTGGGTAAGAGTGTTCGGTCCACCTCAAGAAGTCATCATGGATCAAGCTCGTACCAACCTGGGAGAACCCCTGCAGAAGTATCTAGAGAATCTTGGTGTGTATGTTCGACCCATTCCTGGTGAGGCACATTGGCAGTTGGGTAGAACGGAAACGCATGGAGGTTGGTTCGCTAGGATCCTTGAGAAAACGATGCAATCGCAAATGCCGACCGATCGTGAAACATGGGAACAATGTGTCTTACATAGTCATGTCAAGAACTCTATGATTCAGTTCTATGGATACACACCCCATCAATATGTGTTCGGCAAGAATCCAAACATCCCACAAGATCTCTTGGATGAACCGATCGGCGTAGTGCCAGCGACTGCTAGCTTGTCAGATGACATGGTTGCCAAAGCTCAAGCCTTGAGGTTCTCCGCCCTGCGCGCAGTCCTGGAGACTCAGGACGATCAAGCACTCCGCCGAGCTCTAGCTGCAAGGCCAAGGAAACTCATTCAGTTTGAACCTGGAGACTTGGTTGCCTACTGGCGAGCGCAGAAGTACACCCAAGAGGGAGTGGTCCAGGGAGGTCGTTGGTGGGGTACTGCGGTTGTTCTCGGGGCAGTGGGTAAGAATTACCTCGTAGTACATCGTAGACAGATCTTCAGATGTGCACCCGAACAGTTGAGACCTGCCACCAATGAGGAAAAGACCCTTGTTCGTACGCCCCAAGCAGAACTCCTAGGGATTCGGGACATGATCGAAGGAGGCACTTTCCGTAGCAGTCAATATGTTGATTTAGTGCCAGGCAGCTATCCCGCCAGTGCTGATCAGGAGACACAACCACGTGTTTGTAGTGAGGAGAGAGACCATTCTCCCGCCTCACTGTCAGCAGAAAAGGCTCCTGAAGAGTCGACGGGCCAGCCTGAGAGTCCGGAGGAGGACCCAAGGCTCATTGACAAGTCACCAATGCCGAAGCAGCCCCCAGATGAGCCAATGGAAGATGTCATGAAGTCCTTCTCTCAGGATGTCCCACACACGTCGTCATCTTCAACAAGTGCTAGCCGGCCTAGTGTAGTCATGCCATCCCCGCCTGGGAACACATATGGTCCTGTCCGAAGACGAGTCGAAGGTAAGACTGTTGGTTCCGCACTGTATCGACCTGCGCCCATGAAAGAAGAAGATTTTGTAGACATGATGCGAGAAGTGGTTCCAACGCTGTTGGAAACCTCCACGTCACAGGTTTCGAAGAGGTCATCCGACGTGGCTGAACTGCAGAGCGAAGAGCCGCCGACAAACCGGCCACGCTCTGAATATGAACAGCACGAAGCTCTGTCGGTGCAAGATGTCACTGAGCTCACTGATGCTTGGCAGGACCCCAGAGTACCTGTTGAAGTACTCATAGCTCAATACATGGAGAAGAAGCTTTCTAAGGAAGTAGGACATAGTGGTCATCCTCCCGATATTCAACGTGAATTAGATGCGTCTAAGACCACCGAATGGCAGACCCTCATAGAAAAGAAAGTCATCCGCATTCACTATGGTAAGAAGGCAGCAAGAACATCCCGACCGATTCATAGGCTCAAGATTCGTCATCATTCGTAAGCCCTCCGAAGAGAACCAACACATTGACATGAATGATCCCACCACGTATAAGTTCAAGAGTAGATGGTGCTTACTTGGTCACTTGGATCCGGATTTGGACCTCAAGGCACATGAATTGCTTCAATCCCCCACGTTAAGTCAGATGGGACGCATGCTCCTCATGCAAGTGATTGCATCCCACCGTTGAACACTTCAGTTGGGAGATATCAAAGGCGCCTTTCTAGAGGCAGGTCCTCTCAGTGACCGCTATCGGCCCCTGTACGCACGACAGCCACCAGGTGGTATCCCTGGGGTACCCCCCAATGCCGTGCTTGAAGTGTTGGGGAACATCTATGGCCAGAATGATGCCCCATCCGCCTGGTATAGGACTTTCCATGAAGAAGCTTTGAAGATCGGATGGATTCGTTCGAAGTTCGACCCATGCCTGTACTTTCTGAGAGATCACAACGACTCCACTCTTCAAGGGATTATGGGGGTACACGTAGATGACACATGTCTCGTTGGGTCCGGAGATCGCTTTGAACAAGCCGTCAAACGTCTTCGTGCACGATTTCCGTATAGGAAATGGAGGGTCTCGGAAGAGGAATTCTGTGGTAGTTATTACGTTCAGAATCAAAGGCATGAGATTCAGATGTCACAGAGACTGTTCACTGAAAAACTACGCCCAGCACAGATAGCTCGAGGATCATCATGTGAAGAACCTCTGACCGACGCACAGGTCCGAGTGCTCCGAGCGATCAACGGCAGTTTGAATTGGCTTTCATCTCAACCCAGGCCGGATCTGGCAGTTCAGACCAGTCTGTCTCAGCAAGCCTTCCCCAAACCATGTGTTCGGAACATGAGAGATGCAAACAATGCCATTCGCAGGGCAAAGCAACACAAAGACTTGTGTATCACTTTCAAGGTGATAGATCCTAAGAAACTCACCATATGTTGCCACTCGGACGCGGCATTCGCCAACGTAGGGACACATACACAGGCTGGTTACATCTTGGCTTTTACCGATCACACCATGAATGAAGGTAAAATAGCTCCCTGGACCCCGGTAGTTTGGCGTAGCTACAAAATGAGCAGGGCTGTCAGCTCCACTCTGGGGGGTGAAAGTCAAGCAATGTCCACAGCCAGTGGAACGGTTGAGTGGTTGAGTTTACTGCTGTGCGAAGCCTTGGACGGACAATTTGACCCCCGTCAGGGCCGCTCTCTGTTGGCAAGTCGACCGCCCCTCTATGCAACAGACTGCAAGTCATTATACGACCACCTCATCTCACCATCATCCCCGACAGCAGTCGAAGATCGCAGGACGAGCATTGATATTGTAATCTTTCGAGAGTCCTTGAAACTGACTGGAGGGATAGTTCGATAGTTCGATGGCGGGATAGTCTCACGAAGGACCGTGCCGATCCGGTTGACCTTTTGAGAGCCTGTGTCAGATCCGGATCTTATCAGATTTCTCCAGAGGCTCACATGTTAGAACAGCAAGCAGAGAGAGAACTCCGCCGTCAAAAGCGTCAGGCAGCCACAGTTGATCTCCAGGATGAGGTCTTAGAGTAATTCAATGTAGAGTGCTCATCACTTAGACAAGATTGAGGGTTGTTCACACTAGAGGGCTAATGTGAGGTTCATTGCTTTCATGTGTGCGTGGCAGTCTTGATGTGTTTGAGTCAAATCTCACGCGTGTTTTTGTGTAAAAATCTACTTAGGAAGTCTGTAAACACAGTTCTTCGCTCAAGTCATTCCAACTGCAGGTTGTGCATCCAACACCGTGATTTTAGATCATGTCGTGGAACGCACAAGACCAGGGTCTCTCCCTCGAGCGACTTGGATTGACCGCAGGTGCCTCCAGCCGATCCGAACCGGACCATGAATTCTCTCTGGTGGAACCCCAGACGGTTGGTGCCATGACGGACGGCAGCAAACGTCCAGAGAACAGCCCGGCTGGAAACCCTTTCCTGAAACGCAGTGCATTGAGTGTGGAAGAAGAAGCCGATTCTGTCGAGGGTGGAGGACACACCTTCACGGAGTTGGAATCACAGATGACACCATATCACATGTCTCATAGCACACTCCCGCCGACCTTGGCTCCTGACCTGATCGACTCATCCGAACTTCCAGCATTTCCTCGTGGCGTGTCCACTTTGGACATGTGGGGTGATACCGTGATTGCGTTTGGCCAATATGCCAAGGCCAACAAGACATACCATGAACTGTGGAACAGCTCGGATCCCCAATGCCAGAGCTACATCCGCTGGTGCCAGAGCAGGTCCAAGAGTGCCAAAGGTCAGCTGCTGGATTTGTGTAATTATTTGATTCATGTTGAGGCCATCCATCCTTCCATGCAGGGCCCGGTCATTCCGGGTACGAGCTTGGTGCGGCAGTTCAAGAAAGCATGAGGTCGATTGCAGACCTTTCGACATGCCAATCCACCGGATGCATTCGCCTTTTTAGAATAGATTATTACCGGTGTTGAAACGGCAGGAGCGCATGTCACCATATCCGCAGGGACCGTTGGCTTGGAGAAAAGAACGTGCCCGCGCGCGGAACGGATAGGAGTCCGTTACCTTTGTCAATTGACACAATTATGACATATGTTACATACTCATATATATATATACTTTGCATCTTGAACTGTCGCAGCGCAACCTGAGGACCTTTCCGGGCCTGGAGGACTTCGACGACAGGAAAAAGAGAGAACTAGCAAAATTCTCAGAGTCAGTCTTCGCATGAATGACGAAGCCACAGCAACTCAGCATAGTGGAGCGAAAGATAGCGAACGTGTTTTCTCTCCTTGTCTCCTGTCTCCTTGTGCCAAAAGCCATGATTTGAAACTATTTTAACTATGAGCCTACGACAGTCCATGACTTTAGAGGATGCCAAGTGGGAGCTGAGGCCGAGATGCTTCGGGCTCACGCAGGCCTCTTCCCCAGTGCCTCGAGCTCAGCTTTGCGACAAAAAGAGAAACAAAAACCCAAACCCGCTTTATTGAACAAAGTTTCCAGGTGGGCTATTGCCAGGGTATGAATTTCGTTGCTGGCTTCATCCTTATGATTGCTGGACGTGTTCCAGATGCTCCCAAGGTTGGAAGCAGCTGGATTCTAAAATAGCACGTTGCCACAGCGTGGTTGAATCAGATTTGCAGGATGCATTCTTCCTTCTGGTGCAGATTATGGTGAAGTGCGCGTCGCGGCACCGGGCCATTATATTGTACTTGAGTTCATGTTGATCGATCATGGACAGCCAATTGATGCCCGCCCAACAGTATTGAAGGTTGTTTTCTAGGAGTATCCTCCAGCATGTGAAGAAACAGTACATCAAACCGCAGGTCTTTCTACAACGGCAAGAGTACTTTGTTTTTGAAGAGTTCCATGCAGCCTCTTGATGGGATAAGATGCAGGAGTTCTTTTTTAATGCTGGCTACTGCGGTTTTGAGCAACTCTTCTATTTTATATGGTTGTGGTCTCTTTGCCAACTATATAAGCCGGCTGATTGCACATTTCAAGTCAGACTGCGAACGATGCTACTTTTCAGCCCGTGCCCGCTGCTGCCTGTAGTTCACCATTCGCAGTGGCTCCTTCCTGTTTGCGATTTCGCTGCCGCTGAGCAGTATGACTTGCCGCTGTTGCATGGCTCCTCTTTTTACAAACATACTGCCTATAATTTCAACGCCGGGAGCAGTCCTATGAGCTTTCTACACCAATCTCACACGATAATCTAGGGAGTAGGTCAAGCACAATGCCACTAGTCCCACGGCAAGGGAGCAGCCCCTGATGTAAAAAATGCTTCAAGAACCACATCGGCACAGCATCAAGCATGCCCAGCTTATTGGTTAGGTTGAATCTTGAACAGCAAAAGGGCGAGGAAAGTTGGAGTAAGCTGCAACTCACCCACCACCAGACAGCGAGAAGAGTACCAAATCCCCATGGCTCAAAGGGAATCAGAACTGTCCAATCTTCAAGCAGGCACTGCAAAATCATCAGTTAATCTAATCCAGCCTCCAACTCTCCACTCTCCCCTTGTCTCTTTCCTGCGCTGTGCACATCCACGTCCCAGCCCATCAAAGCTTGTCAGCTGACTTCAGTAGCTGCCTGAAGATATACATAAAGGCAAACAGCGGACATGTGACACACTTATGATTATGCGTACTGACTTGACAGCGGTGCCACAAGCCGGCCTAAGTTAAAAAACCTGAGATACCAGGACAAATAGTAGGTTAATGGCAATCGTTTTAAAGTTGGAGGTCATCGCAAGGCTGTTGGAGGTCAACGCCTAAGTTTAGAGGCCGTCGCTAGTAGGTGGTAGGTAGTATGCGCAAACCATCAAAAGTGACAAATAGTAGGTTAAAGGCCATCGCTTTTTGGTTGGAGGCCAACGCGAGGCCGTTGGGGGCCAAGACCTAAGGTTGGAGGCCGTCGCTAGTAGGTGGTGGGCAGTATACACAAGCAAAGCAAAAGTGACAAATAGTAGGTTAAAGGTCATCGCTTTTTGGTTCGAGGCCATCGCAAGGCCGTTGGGGCCAACACCTGAGGTTGGAGGCCGTCGCTAGTAGGTGCTGGTAGTATGCGCAAGCAAAACAAAAGTGACAGCGAGCAGCAAAGTTGGAGGTCGTCACTAGTAGTTGGAGGTTATGGTACCAGGTTGGAGGCCAGTGCTACCAGGTTACAAGAAACACAAGAAACACAAGACAGCTAAATGCTAGTGGGTAGAGGCCACAAAGTTCGGGCGGAAAGGTCCACGAAAAAGGTTGGGGGCCTACCTGCAAACCTATAGAGTAGACTAGAGGAAAACAGAAGGAAAGGCACCGACACACAAGTGTGTCGAGTACCATTTCCTCCTGTTTTCCTACATAGCAGAGCAGGTACACAGTGGGGCGTCCCCCACTGCATCAGCACCTCTTCGTTGGACGGGATGGTGTCCCGTCCCCCTGCTCCAAACCAAAAGGTTCCCTGTGATTCCAAGGGTTACACACACACGCCTCCCTGAAGGGAGGCATGTGTGGCCTCCATCCTGCACGGAAAAGAAGCGCCCCCATCCTGCCCGGAAAGGGGGTTATGCGAGGCGCGTGTGCACGCAAAAGAGGCAGATGAAAATGAAAGGGACGAGGTGGACAAAAAGTGTATGTGGTTGCCGACGAAGTAGAACCAAGTGAAGAGGGACAACCGATGAACCAAACCTCATTGTAACAAACCTGGGCCACCTGAATCTCGTTGTAAGTAGAATACGCGTGTATGTGTACAAACTAAGGTCCGGACGATAGTGCGCGCAAGAGAAAGAAAGGATGAAGATGAAGAGACATGAATGAAAAGAAGGGAAGACGTCTGTGGGGTCCGATGAAAGGGGAACCAAATGAAAGGGGACAAACCGATGACAGTCCAAACCTCATTGAGAAACCGGTTGCAGAAGCCTTGTTTGCTTGTAGACACGCCGCGCGCGAGGAAAGAGGGGGGAGGGGGAGGAAGAAAAGAGAAGGAGGACGCAAGCGTCCAAGGACACACCAATTGGAAGGGCGGCTCCCAGCTATGACGAAAGCATCCAGGGAGGAAAGAAAGAGAGAAAGAGAGAGGGAGAGAGAGGGAGAAAAGAAGAAGGAAAAAGGGGCAGGTGTTCCCAGCTACGAACAGGCGTTGAGGGACACACCAATGAGAGAGGGGTGATCTTGAGTATTCCATTCAGGAACACCTCAGAAGGCAAAGAAGGAAGGGAATGGCTGGCTGCTTTGACCGCTGTGGTCACGTAAAGGCATGAGCCAGCTTGGAGTTCCATAAATTGGACAAAATTCCGAGGCCCTAGGCCACCTTCGCCCGCTCTGGGCACGCACATCTCCGGGCAGGGGAGACAAAGACTACGCCCGTTTGACGGGTCCATGGGGGGCACTCTGCGGGCTCACCCGGCTGGCGCGAGGCCAGACGCACTTATGATTATGCCTACTGACTTGACAGCGGTGCCACACTCCGACCTAAGTTAAAAAACCTGAGATACCAGGACAAATAGTAGGTTAATGGCCATCGTTTTAAAGTTGGAGGTCATCGCAAGGCTGTTGGGGGTCAACGCCTAAGGCTAGAGGCCGTCGCTAGTAGCTGGTAGGTAGTATGCACAAACCATCAAAAGTGACAAATAGTAGGTTAAAGGCAATCGCTTTTTGGTTGGAGGCCAACGCAAGGCCGTTGGGGGCCAAGACCTAAGGTTGGAGGCCGTCGCTAGTAGGTGGTGGGCAGTATACACAAGCAAAAAAAAGTGACAAATAGTAGGTTAAAGGCCATCGCTTTTTGGTTGGAGGCCATCGCAAGGCCGTTGGGGCCAACGCCAAAGGTTGGAGGCCGTCGCTAATAGGTGGTGGGTAGTACGCACAAGCAAAACAAAAGTGACAGCGAGCAGCAAAGTTGGAGGTCGTCACTAGTAGTTGGAGGGGTTATGCGAGGCACATGTGCACGCAAAAGAGGCAGATGAACATGAAAGAGACGAGGCAGACAAAAAGTGTATGTGGTTGCCGATGAAGAAGAACCAAGTGAAGAGGGACAACCGATGAGCCAAACCTCATTGTAAAGAACTTGGGCCACCTGAATCTCGTTGTAAGTAGAAGACGCATGTATGCGTACAAACTAAGGTCCGGACGATAGTGTGCGCAAGAGAAAGAAAGGATGAGGATGAAGAGACATGAAGACAGAAAGACATGAAAGGAAAGAAGGGAAGACGTCTGTGGGGGCCGATGAAAGAGGAACCAAATGAAAGGGGACAAACCGATGACAGTCCAAACCTCATTGAGAAACCTGTTGACAGAAGCCTTGCTTGCTTGTAGACACGCCGCGCGCGAGGAAAGAGGGGGGAGGGGGAGGAAGAAAAGAGAAGGAGAGAAAGGAGGACGCAAAGGTGCTCCCAGCTGCGACACAAGCGTCCAAGGACACACCAACCCAGCCATGACGAAAGCGTCCAGGGACACCCAAGGAAGGAAGGTGAAGAGAGGAAAGAAAGAGAGAAAGAGAGAGGGAGGGAGAAAAGAGAGAGTCAGGAACACTCCAGAAGGCAAAGAAGGAAGGGGTGAGGGAAGGGGGAGGAAGGGGGGGGCTAAGTTCTCGGCAGACTCCAATCAAGAAGCTTCGGCCGCTGCGGCCACGTACGCCGTGCCAAAATGGCTGGCTGCTTTGACCGCTGTGGTCACGTAAAGGCGTGGGCCAGCTTGGAGTTCCATAAATTGGACAAAATGTTGAATTCTTTCGGCCACCTTCGCCCGCTCTGGGCACGTACATCTCCGGGCGGGGGAAATAAAGACTAACGCCCGTTTGACGGGTCCACGGGGGGCACAGTGCGGGCTCACCCCGGGCTGGCGCGAGGCCAGACACACTTATGATGATGCGTACTGACTTGACAGCGGTGCCACACGCCGGCCTAAGTTAAAAAACCTGAGATACCGGACAAATAATGTAGTCTCTTGATTAATAAACTTCCCCCCCCGGGCACCCGCCCTCTCAACAATTGGAGCCTCTAGAATAATATGATACAGAACCAACCAATTGATGAAAATGAAAAGATTCATTACTTAGCTATCTCTGTCAACACTAAAAATGAAAGGAATCATGTCTTAGCTATCTCTGGCAATACTAAAAATGAAAAGAATCATGTCTTGGCTATCTCTGGCAATATTAAAAATGAAAGGAACCATGTCTTAGCTATCTCTGGCAATACTGAAAATGAAAAGATCTGACGTTCAGGAAATAATGGAATGATTAAGCAACACATTTTTTGGAGCCTGAAATCTCTAGACATTATTCTAGGGCCCCCCTAAATAATGTCAGAAAGCTGCTTGCTGGACTACCCCCTTTGCTTGAATGATATTTTGTGTTTTTCAATACTTTCGAACAAGGGGTTTTGTAAAATTATACCGGCATAGACCCCAGATAGCACTTCAAGAAAAGGATAGCATGGCAAGAGCGGGAGACAAGCTTGGGAGACATCCCACTCAAAGCCCGGAAAAGGATGGAAAAGGCAAACAAGACCTAAATCATCTTATAACAGCATCCGCGTCAAAGGCAGGCAAGAAAATCACAAGGCGGCAGCGGCAGCCAAGAGCGAAATCAGGAACAGAGACAAGCTTGGGAACCACGGCGGCAGCGGCAACCAAGAGCGAAATCATGAAGGGAGACAAGCTTGGGAGACCAGGCGGCAGCGGCAGCCAAGAGCGAAGTTATGAAGGGAGACGAGCTTGAGAAACAAGCCGGCAGCGGCAGCCAAGAGCGAAATCATGAAGGAAGACAAGCTTGGGAGACAAGCCGGCAGCGGCAGCCAAGAGCGATATGATGATGGACAAGCTTGGGAGACAAGGCGGCAGCGGCAGCCAAGAGCGAAATCACGAGGCGAGACAAGCTTGGGAGCCAAGCGGCAGCGGCAGCCAAAAGCGAAACCATGAAGGGAGACAAGCTTGGGAGACAAGGCGGCAGCGGCAGCCAAAAGCAAAATCATGAATGGAGACAAACTTGGGAGACAAGGCGGCACCGGCAGCCAAGAGCGAAATCACGCAGGGAGAGAAGCTTGGGAGACTGCGCGGCAGCGGCAGCCAAAAGCGAAATCATGAAGGGAGACAAGCTTGGGCAGCGGCAGCCAAAAGCAAAATCATGAAGGGAGACAAGCTTGGGAGACAAGGCGGCAGCGGCAGCCAAGAGCGAAATCATGAAGGGAGACGAGCTTGGAAGACAAGCCTGAAGGGAGACAAGCTTGGGAGACAAGGCAGAAGCGGCAGCCAAAAGCGACATCATGAAGAGAGAAAAGCTTGGGAGACAAGCCGGCAGTGGCAGCCAAGAGCGTGACAAGCTGAACTGACAAGGCGGCAGCAGAAGCCAAGAGCGAAATCATGAAGGGAGACAAACAAGCTTGGGAGACAGGGCGGCAGCGGCAGCCAAAAGCGAAATCATGAAGGGAGACAAGCTTCGGAGACAAGGCGGCAGCGGCAGCCAAGAGCGAAATCATGAAGGGAGATAAGCTTGGGAGACAGGGCGGCAGCGGCAGCCAAAAGCGAAATCATGAAGGGAGCTTGGGCAGCGGCAGCCAAAAGAAAAATCATGAAGGGAGACAAGCTTGGGAGACAAGGCGGCAGCGGCAGCCAAGAGCGAAATCATGAAGGGAGACGAGCTTGGAAGACAAGCTGACAGAGGCAGCCAAGAGCGAAATCATGAAGGGAGACAAGCTTGGGAGACAAGGCGGCAGCGGCAGCCAAGAGCGATATCATGAAGGGTGACAAGCTGAACAGACAAGGCGGCAGCGGCAGCCAAGAGCGAAATCATGAAGGGAGACAAGCTTGGGAGACAGGGAAATCATGAAGGGAGACAACCTTGGAAGACAAGGCGGCAGCGGCAGCCAAGAGCGAAATCATGAAGGAAGACAAGCTTCACAGACAAGGCGGCAGCGGCAGCCAAGAGCGAAATCATGAAGGGAGACAAGCTTCACAGACAAGGCAGCAGCGGCAGCCAAAAGCGAAATCATGAAGGGAGACAAGCTTGGGAGACAAGGCGGCAGCGGCAGCCAAGAGCGAAATCATGAAGGGAGACAAGCTTGGGAGACAAGGCGGCAGCAGCCAAAAGCGAAATCATGAAGGGAGACAAGCTTGGGAGACAAGGCGGCAGCGGCAGCCAAAAGCGAAATCATGAAGGGAGACAAGCTTGGGAGACAAGGCGGCAGCGGCAGCCAAAAGCGAAATCATGAAGGGAGACAAGCTTGGGAGACAAGGCGGCAGCGGCAGCCAAAAGCGAAATCATGAAGGGAGACAAGCTTGGGAGACAAGGCGGCAGCAGCCAAAAGCGAAATCATGAAGGGAGACAAGCTTGGGAGACAAGGCGGCAGCGGCAGCCAAAAGCGAAATCATGAAGGGAGACAAGCTTCACAGACAAGGCGGCAGCGGCAGCCAAGAGCGAAATCATGACGGGAGACAAGCTTGGGAAACAAGGCGGCAGCGGCAGCGGCAGCCAATTTCCGCAATCAGGAACCCATCCATTGAGAAGTAAGAACCCCTATAGCTTCGCTATCTGCGGAAAAAGTGTGCAATGACTTTTAGAAACTGTTGGAAAGCTTAAAGACTAAAGAGCTTAGGTAAGTAAAGCAAATCAAGAGGAAAAGAAAGGAAATGAATACAAATTTACTTAACACATACAGTAATATGTTTTACGCCTGAAATCTCTAGACATTATTCTAGCGCCCCTAAATAATGTCAGAAAGCTGCTTGCTGGACTACCCCCTTTCCTTGAATGATTTGTTGTGTTTTTTCAATGCTTTTGAACAAGGGATTTTGTAAAGAACGTGTGCACTGACTTTTGGAAAATTTTGGAAAGCTTAAAGACTAAAGAGCTCAGGTAAGTAAAGCAAATCAAAATGAAAAGAAAGGGAAATCTTTAAACGTTTAATAGAAATCTCCATCCAAAAGCCTCCAAGAGCATCAACTCTCAATGGAAAGCTTCAAGTTTTTAATTGAAATCTCCATCCAACAGCCTCCAAAAGCATCAAATCTCATTGGAAATCTCAAATTTTAATAGAAATCTCCATCCAAAAGCCTGTAAGCTAAGCAAATCTCAGCAAACTCAAAAGGGAACAAGTAAACTCTAACAATTAAACATATTCCACTACAACTATCCTTGCCAAAAAAAAGACATTATTCTGCGGGCTTTTTTAATCTGCGCAGGAAAAATGTCATTATTCTTGGGTACTTTTTAAATCCAGGTACCGCATTAGTAGGCTAATGGCAATCGTTTAAAAGTTGGAGGTCATCGCAAGGCTGTTGGGGGTCAACGCCTAGGGTTAGAGGCCGTCGCTATAGGTAGTATGCACAAACCATCAAAAGTGACAAATAGTAGGTTAAAGGCCATCGCTTTTTGGTTGGAGGCCAACGCGAGGCCGTTGGGGGCCAAGACCTAAGGTTGGAGGCCGTCGCTAGTAGGTGGTGGGTAGTATGCGCAAGCAAAACAAAAGTGACAGCGAGCAGCAAAGTTGGAGGTCGTCACTAGTAGTTGGAGGCCATGGTGCCAGGTTGGAGGCCAGTCTACCAGGTTACAAGAAACACAAGAAACACAAGACACACAAGACAGCTAAATGCTAGTGGGTAGAGGCCACAAAGTTCGGGTTGAAGGTCCACGTTACAAGGTTGGGGGCCTACCTGCAAACCTATAGAGTAAACTAGGGGCAAAACGAAAGGCGCCGACACACAAGTGTGTCGAGTACCATTTCCTCCTGTTTTCCTAAAAAGCAGAGCAGGTACACAGTGGGGCGTCCCCCACTGCATCAGCACCTACTGGCACCCTCTTCGTTGGACGGGAAATGCCAGCGGTGTCCCGTCCCCCTGCTCCAAACCAAAAGGTTCCCTGTGACTCCAAGGGTTACACGCGCACTTGAGAAGGTTGCTCCGCGGAGCGCGATTTCAAGCTCTTCGCGGGGATCATTAGCCCTTTAGGTGAATACTTAGCACTTGACTTGATTCAACGGAAAGAAGTGCAGAGTCAGTCGAACAGAATGTTTTAACATAGGTGAAACGTGGAGAATGAATAATTAGCACTTGACTTGATTCAACGGAAAGAAGTGCAAAGTCGGTCTAACAGAATGTTTAACCAGAAGTGAAACTTGGAAAGTAAATTAAATTTGCAGGTACACATCATGGCCAGTGGATGCTTCCCTCTCTGATGCGTAGCTTCATTGGACAGAGTAGCATCAGAGAGCTCTGCCCCCCTGCGGAATTGCTGTACATGGCTTCGCTTCGAAACAGGGGTTGACACACACACAAGAAGCCGAAGCGGCGCACTAGTACTATTCAGGGCACAACTCAATGCTTTGCTTTTTTCGTCATTTATCCAGTCAGCTGGGTTTTGTTTTTTCTTTTTCTTTTTCCTGCCAGGGGGTGAAGGGGTGCTCGGGCGTGCATTGACTAAACGAGCCTGGATGCCACCTAACCAGCCTGAAGAAAAGAACAAGACAAACGAAAAGGCAAGGAAAGAAGAGAAAGGTGCAGGGGGTGCGGGGGGCGGGCAGGGCGTGCGTTGACTAAACGAGCCTGGATCATACCTAAAAAGCCTGAAGGAAGGAACAAGACAAACGAAAAGGCAAGAAAAACAAGCAAAGGTGCAGGGGGTGCGGGGTAGGGGTGGAGGCTCTTACGAGCCCATAGGCACTGTCCGAGAAGCCGAATCAGCGCTTTGTTTAAAATTATGTAAAAAATTGGAACAAGGAAACATCTCCGGGGTGAGACATGTTTCAGTGAAACTCTGCAGTATATTTCAGTGGAAATTTCAGTGAACTCTGCAGTAAACTTCACATGTGCAGGGTGAGACGTTCCAATCAAGCTGATTTCGAGCAGAAAAATTCAGTCGAATGAACTTCAGAAAAACTTCAGGAAACTTACTCCTGCGGTGAGGAGTGAAAAGGTTCTTGCAGTAACGGCGCCCCGTAGGGATCACACAGCTTACCACAGTGGGAAGAAGCTGCGGAAACACACTTGAGAAGGTTGCTCCGCGGAGCGCGATTTCAAGCTCTTCGCGGGGATCATTAGCCCTTTAGGTGAATACTCAGCACTTGACTTGATTCAACGGAAAGAAGTGCAGAGTCAGTCGAACAGAATGTTTTAACATAGGTGAAACGTGGAGAATGAATACTTAGCATTTGACTTGATTCAACAGAAAGAAGTGCAAAGTCGGTCTAACAGAATGTTTAACCAGAAGTGAAACTTGGAAAGTAAATTAAATTTGCAGGTACACATCCATGGCCAGTGGATGCTTCCCTCTCTGATGCATAGCTTCATTGGACAGAGTAGCGTCAGAGAGCTCTGTCCCCCTGCGGAATTGCTGTACATGGCTTCGCGAGCTGAAGTAGTAGGAATAGCTAGATTAGTTCCCTTCGAAACAGGGGTTGACACACACACACACACCTTCGTGCCAGAAATCATTCCTGAAACGAGGAGCCGCAAGCCTTGCCACCACACTTTGTGCAAACCACTTGCTTTGGGCTTGAGTTCGTGGATGTTCGCAGAATGCGCTAATGAGAACCATACTGCTGCTTCTCTGTTATTGCCACAGTGATCGTTTAACATTCATAGTAGTGGTCGTGATTGTGATTGTTGAACTGTGTTTAACGTCAATGCCACCTTTTCAACCTCAAGCGCTTGATTGCCAGAGAATCCAGCTTGATTTGATTTCGGGAAACTCGGCAGGTATCGGGCGAACCTCTTGTTTTGCGATGGCCTTCCGCTCTTGAAGCTGCATACGCTGCCCGCCCTGATTTTTGACAAGAACAGAAGCGAATGCCCTCTGTGCAGACTTGACATACAGAAAGCACATATTGCCCATTCAAGAGACCAAAAAACTCCTTGGCAGGTTTCAATATCGAATGCTTCTGCAAAGGCTTTTTCCAGATGTACGGTCCTATCAGTTTGCTGTGTACAAAGACTGGCTAGCTAGTCCTATTGTTTATGCGGATTGTAGACGCCGGAAGATCCAGGTCCATCGCCATTTTCAAGATCAGCAGATCACCCCGGAGTTGTACCTTACAAAGCCTGGGGGCTCAGTGGTCCTAGGTCTGAGCTCAGAACACGTGTGCTGAGTGTTCCGTGAAGAGCAGGGTTTGTTGGGATTCGTGTCGTTTTCAAGACTGAGTGACTGGCTCGCTGTTGGCTCAAGTTTTCAAATGATCGTACTTGAGCCTCCAGTTTTGACAAATCCCTCAAGGACAGCTTTGATACCTTGAAGCCCACATGAGTTGGCGCGTTTTTAATTTTGAGCTTCAATGAAGAAGCGCTCGCACTTGTCATTTGATTACTGTTTTTTCTGGAAACTTAGCCTGAGGTTCTTTAAATTGATGTTTTGCTCGATTGGAGGAGTTTTGCACGGTCTTATTTCCCTTGAGGCAGGAGATTGTTCCGCCAATGAGACGAAGACAAGCAGCCATCTCGAACATTCATCCATAATAAGACACCTTTTCATCTGCAATGTGCATATGTGCATGTGTGCATATTATATGTAAATATATAAATAAACACATATATAGATACACATGTGTTTGTACGTGAATACGTGACGGAGGAAGATGCACAATGACTGACATGATGCGAACACGCAATATGCAGTATGCAGGACGCAACACCTATGAAGGCAGCCATCAAAGCACTGTGGCTTTTATCAACTGGAATCATTGCTGGAGCAGTTTGCCCCAATGACTCCTGGATGTATTTAGCATTGCTTGATATGTTGACACTGGTTTCCTCGTGGCAAGGACTTGGCCGAAAAAACAAAGGAATTAACACATCCAATCTGCTCCATTGCAGAAGATGATACATGAGCGTATTGAGAAGGTATTGGGAAACCCTATACTTAGTAAACTGATGAGGAGAACCAAGAAAACTCGCCTTTTAACGTGAAACACATCCAGCTACCTAGCCCTGCAGGGTGGTGTGGAATCGCATGGGAGATGTTGGTATCTTGGAGCCGAAGGTGCTACTTGTGGACAGACATGTGGTGCTCAGGAGTGCCAGAAACGCAAGCAGTGCAATGTTTGCAAGGCCTGTTTCAGCTTGAGCTCTGATGGCTGTAGTACTGGTGGCGTCCCCGTGGTGATTGCTGCTGCGGGTGCGATGCTAGCTATGTTTGTGCTTGATGGCAGAAGCTGGTGGCACTGGTGCTGATGTGAAAAGGTGTTGTTGCTGCTGTGCCGTGGCTTCTGGTGTTGCTGTCATTGCGCCGTCGCTGTGATGGTGGTGGTGGTGGTGGTGGTGGTTCTGGCTTAGTCGTGATGAGCATTGTTTGCGATATAGGCATGAACATGATCCTTATCAGCTTTAGAGGGTGTTTAGATTAGAATAGTAATTCGGACTTGATATCCTGGCTGTCACAATGCGAGCCTTCCAGGGCCTAGCATATGATCACTTTGTAGCACCTGACGCCACTCCGATGGTACCAAATTTGCTGAGCCGCGCCCCGCGAACAAAACAGCTTCTTTGTGGCACTTGAGTGGATTACATTGGATGTGGTAGAGACTGACAAGGAGGTCAGCCCCTGTCAATCCAGTGACAGCCAGTAACCAGTGGCCCCGCAATGTGCTCGCTTGTTGAGTTGCAAGGTGGATTCCAGGAGCAAGGAGGTAAGAATGTCATTCGGCCATTGTCACCCACCCACCCAAGCCTCTTCGTTTTGCACTTGCAGTGTTCTCACATGTCCCAGCAAAGCATTTTGGATTTGGAAGCCACTTGGAACAATGCAAAGCGATACTTTTTTGATTTGAGAGATTGATGCCAAGGTTTTCTTGGGGAAGAATCGAATGCTATGTGCCAAGTGCAGACCGCTATCACACTGCCAAGCCGACCCCAAATCCAGATACGGACGACAAAGGAGCTCCGCAAGACTGGTCGGCGCCGTATTTGCATTGAGTGATGCATGAGCTGTGCCTTTCGGTTGTTTTGTTTGATGCAACCTTTCACCCCCTTTAGTCTATTCAACTATTTTGTTTCTCTCACCCTGTTGTAGAGGCCACCAAAGCAATATATGGAACTTGATTTTCTTTGCAGTGGAAGTCATTGCCGACTACAAAACAAGACGAGAGTTATGTAGACTAGATATGCAAGAACACAAAAGAACGAACTGACGTACAAAGGAGGTGGGGGAGGGAACAAAGGGAAGAACAGCGAACATCACTATTTGTTGTGGCCGTGGGCGGCACCTTGAATTTGCAGAGCTAGTTGCTGGCATGAAATCACTGGTTCCTGTCTCCCTCCCCCCCACCCTCTCTTTCTCTGTTTGTATCTGTCTCTGTCTCTGTCTCTCTCTCTCTCTCTTTCTCTTTCTCTTTATCTTTCTCTCTCTCTCTATACACACATGCACACACATGTCTCCCTCCCTCCCTCCTTCCCTCCCTCCATATAGATAGGTATATACATAGGTGGATGGATGGATCGAGAGATAGAGATAGAGAGAGATAGAGATAGATAGAGATAGATAGAGAGATAGAGAGATAGAGAGATAGATAGATAGATAGATAGACAGACAGACAGACAGACAGACAGATAGATAGAGATATAGATAGATAGATAGATAGATAGAGATATAGATAGTTTTCAGTTTTCAGTTTCGGGCGCTCACGAGGCGTCTCGCAAAAGCGGGGCTCAAGGAGAGTATTTACTCCTTGGCTGACTTTACATGTCAGTCAAAGCACCGGGGTGCGCTGGAGTCCTTCTAGCACCTTTGCTCATTTGGAAGCAACAAGGTCTTCTCTAAAAGGTAACCTTCAGTGCCAAAAACATCTATGGTAGCACTGTAGTGTATGCAGCTGCTAGTCATTGGCCGGAGCTCAAATCTCCATTGGAGAGGGCTCACGGCCTGGGATCAGTGATATCAAAGTAGCCTGGTTCACATTCCGGCTTGCCAGGGGAACGCAAGGCCCGCAAAGTGAGGCCAGGTTCAACATCATGGAAAAACCGCGGAGAACACTGGCAATCAGGAGGGGGAAAAAATTATCACCTTTTGGTCATGGCATCAAGTGCCTGCAGCTCTTCATTCACAGTGCGGCCAGATTCAAAGAGCCGGCTCTGCGGCGCCTGAACCACTTTGTTGTGCTCAACCAAGTCGAATGTTGAGCTCGACCTGGCAGTAGTGATACAGCTGGAGTGGCTTAAAGGAAAGCACTTGGCAAGCCCCGCGCCCATGGCAGGGCAAATTGGCACAGTCACGGCGCTCTTGCATGAATTGGTCAACTTTGATGACGTGCGCCAGCTCAGAGTGCCTCAGTCGAGCGTGCTTCTTCAGGGCATCATGGGATACCACCAATTCTCCGCAGATGCTGCAATACGACCTTAGTCGAGACAGGACGTCTTCAGGGTAGCATTCCAGCTTCATCTGGTGCATCTCGTACAGAGTGGCCAGAGCCCTTGGAAAAAGATCTGTGCCGGTCAGGCCAAACTTGTTGAGGCCCAGTTCAACTGAGTCGTCTCGCGCTAGCCAGATGAAAATCCATTCTGAGGTCCTCGCTGGTGTGGAGCCCATGACCTGTGCCTCTTGGAGGTCGTTGAACAGCAGCCATCCCTGCGCCTGTAGATGGCCAGCTGCATCCTGACCCTGATGCACAACCGCTGCCGCAAATATGAAGGGCCTGTGAGTGAAGCCCAGTTCAATCTCAGACTTGATTGGGAGCCAGACCGTGGGATTGACTTCAAGTTCCCATTCACGCTTCAGGTATTGGCCTTAGTGATCCAGGGCAAACCGATCAAGATGCAAACATGCAAGGCGGCTGCAAGCAGAAAAGGTCTGCGTGCCCATGTATTCTGTCCAGGAGTCAGCCAAGTGTTGAAGCTCTATTTTTCCTGTGTGTTCCGGTGCACTAAGCGTAGGCGGATTGTATGGAGCCCCTTGATCCTTCGACAAGATCACTCCCCCCTCCTGTGCAATTCGCCGCCAAGAGCTGTTCACACAAAGGGGCCTAATCCATTGAAGGAAGCGGCTCAGAAACTCATGAAGGTCGTGGGCACCGAGGGTGGGCAGATCTTTCAGACTGACCCACATGCCCTCTGATCTAAATAATTCTGCAAACTCCTCAGCGCCTCCACCCAAATCATTCCAGGTTGGATCCCCGAGTTGAAGAAGTGCCCAAAACATGGCAAGCAATGCAGAGTTCTGGTAGCAGTCATTGCCTGTGTTGCTCAGGCGGACCGCCGTCAGCCATCCCATTATTGTCTCCTTCTCGATGGGCCAGAGGATGCCCTCGCCAAACTGGCAGCCAGTGGATACCCCTCACCGAGCGCGGCCTGAGCCTTCCCAGCAGACGATCTCGTAGAGCCTGTGGTGACGAAGACTGATTTGCAGCATCCATAAAAGAACCTTCATCAGGTGGTCCAGGCTCAACCAACCGGCTTGCCGGGAACTGCTTGTAGACGCGTAGATAGATAGTTAGATGGATGGATAGGTCGATACATAGAGGGACAGTCTGATAGGTAGATAGGTAAGTAGATAGATAGATAGATAGATATTTGTTTTCTCTGGTCCGTCCCTTCCTTCCAATATGTTGCACCTTTTCTGCGCGGAGGGCCATTTAATTTCGTTTTTTTGTTTCCTTTTTTGTTTTTTTGTTTTTCGTGGCTTCTGGCTTTCGTGGCTTCTGTGGCTTCTGTGGCTTTTGGCTTTCGTGGCTTCTGTAGCTTTTGTTGCTTTTGGCTTTTTGGCCTATCCTTCTATTTGTCTATATCTATCTGTCTATATCTATCTATCTATCTATCTATCTTTCTTTCTTTCTTTCTTTTTGGCAGCTGTTCTCCTTTCTCTTTTTGCAGTTGCTTTTCCTGTTGTTTGCGTTGCAGAGACGAAACCAAACAAGGAAGCAAGCAAGCAAGGAAGCAAGCAAGTAAGCAAGCGCGAGCTGCTCATCTTTGGATCTGGTGTGCTGCTAGGGGGGGCGCTGCGCCCCCCCCCAACCTCCCCGCGCCACGAAATCTGCACTTCATCCCCGACACCCGCGCCTGCCACGAAATTAATATTTTACAGTGAACTCCCGGTGCAAAACCTTCTAACCAAGC